TTGGGTAGAATCGTAAATGCCACATGAGCCTAAGGATCGATCCGCTCTTGGATGGGTAATTTTAAATTTCGGTTCCCTTAAACTATGTATGTTTTTATTATGTAATGTGTATAAAATTTTATTTGAAATTATTCTTAATAACAAACCCTATCACTCGTAGATTCCAGACTTTGTATCGAGTACCAAGCGTGCCAAGAACGCGATGGCAGCGGACAGCGCTAGCTGCGTTTAGGGCCAAGCTAAATAACCTCACTATGGTTCCGGAATAGGACTCGGTAGCACATATTGTGCGATTTCATGACCTACTTCGGTGAATCGCGTTCGTCGATGCCTCCTTTAATCGGTATTTTAACTCGAACTTCCTTTGGACAACTCTACGTCGAGCTCTCCCATCGGGAGACCAACGATTGTTAGACGAAGTTTGGGAAGACATGATAGATCAACACTCTTATCGAGCTCTAATTCGAACCTTTCTACCAACCTGAGCTAGACGATCCCTCATTCGACCGATGTACGGATGGGGATTACCGTTACCCATTGCTCGTGAGATAATCCATGCGACAATGAAAACCGCATTGATTGGTGGTTACTAGAGGGTTCTTTTCCTCGATATGTCCGATAAATAAGCTAATAGGGATCTCATCACATGACGTGGTGTCTTTTGTATGTTCTATAATGTAAATAGGAGTGCTTTTGATTGTAAATATAGCACAAAAACCTAGTAAAGGTGTGTATGAGATGTTTACTATGTATAAAAATGTATAATTTCATATGAGCATGAATGATTAGCATTAAATGCTAAAATCCATACTAAAACTAATGTGAACTTAATGTGTATATAAAGATAAACTATGTCGTCAAGAAAGAACCTCGTATGAGCCGGAGGTGAAGGGACCTCCAACGATAATAGCTCGAACCAACAAGAAATGCTAAATCAAATGATAGAAATAATGCAATAGCAACGAACAAACTCTACAACAACAACAACGAGTTCACGCCGAACATATGAGGCAGCTTTTAGCTACACAACAACGACCTCCACCCCGAGCAGAGGAATGATGCGGTAGAAAGGTTCCACAAGATGAACCCTCGAGAGTTTGCTGGGGAGTGAACCCAATAATAGCCGAGGAGTGGATTAAGTCTCCGGAGGTAATATTCGAATATCTACAGCTTGTCAACTAGGAGCGAGTGTCGTGCGTTCTTTTTCTATTAACTAAGGATGCCCGCACATGGTGGGAGAGTACGCGACTAACCGTAGACTTGTCAACTTTAACTTGGGAAGGATTTAAGGAGGTCTTCTATAATAAATACTTTACCGTAAATGTGAGGGCCAAGAAGATTCAAGACTTTCCGGAGTTAAAGCAAGATGGGATGTTAGTCTATGAATATGTACAAAAGTTTGAACAAGGCTGTAGATTCGTCCCATTTATTACCGGGGATGAAAAATCTAAAAAGGAACAGATTCCCGACAAGGTTAAACCCAAGAGTGCGAAGTATGGTGCGGATGTCGATTGCCAATACCTTCTCAAAATGATGGATAAGGCGATGATAGCCGACGAAGATCGAAGGAAATTTCGAGGGACTTACAAGTAAAAGAGGCAAGGGTTTAGATTTGGAGCCTCTTCATCGGGACCGAGTGAGACGAGTTTCGCTTAGGAATTTCAACCAAAATGGTGGTCCGGAAAACTCTCGAGCCACCGTAACGACATCATATGTTCCGAGACCATCGTCGGGAAGCCAACCGAGGTCAATGACGGGCAATCCGCCCAGAGTGTAGAAAGTGTGAAAGATTCCATGTCGGAGATGTAGATCGGACAGCCGAGTATGCTACGTGTGTTAAAAACCGGGGCACATGTCTTATAATTGCCCATAAGTACGAAACCGAGACTAGGAAGAGTATTTGCTCGGGTGTACACTATGACCCGAAGAGGCGGATCGGAGGGATACAACTGTAATTCATGATAATGTCTCAATCCCCGGCTTAATTGCATATGTTTTGATTGATCCGATACCACACATTCTTTTATATCAAACACATTAGTGAAAAGCCTAGGAGTCAAACCGGAGACATTAGCCATAGGATATCTTATAGTGGTTTCTTCCGGTGACACTATGGAATCGTCGAGTGTGTTAAAAAGTGTCCCGTACATATTGAAGATAGGAGATTAGAAGCCGATCCGATAGTGCTGGACCTCCGGGATTTTGATTTGATCCTAGGGATAGATCGGCTAACAAAGAATGGCACCAACATAGACTATCGAGGAAAAAGGGTAACTTTTGATCTACCCGAAAGTTGACGAGTTAGAGTTTAAGGTCGATTTAAAGCTTCGAATGGTATCGATCATTTTGGCTATTAAAGTTCAAAAAATGATAGGAAAAGGATGTATGGGGTACTTAGCGCATGTGGTGGATAGCCGAGTGGAGCAAAAGTTGAAACCGGAAGATATAGAAATTATACGAGAATATATAGATATATTTTCAAAGAGTTTGACCACGCTACCACCGGAGAGGGAGATAGAGTTTGAGATTAAACTAGAGCCGAGTACGGCTTCGATTTCGAAATCCTCCTATAGAATGGCTCCTACCGAGCTAAAGGAGTCGAAGGTGCAAGTCACAGGACTTATTGGACAAGGACTTTATATGTCCTAGTTCCTCACCTCGGGGAGCTCCAAGCATCGTTCGTGAAAAAGAAGGATGGAAGTCTAAGGCTATGTATTGAAGTGAATCCTACGGATCTTTAGTTGGCGGATGTTCTAACAAAAGGATTAAACAATCATGCATTTCGAGAAAATATATGCAAGTCGGGAATGGAAGACCTATATTCACCGAGCTTGAGGGGAGTGTAGGAAATATCGGGATATAATTAGATAGGAAATATTTTGTATATTCTTTCCTATTCTATAGGGATCCTATTCTATCTTCCTATTCTTTAGGAATTCTTTCCTATCTTAGGACTCTCTCTCTCTCTCTTTATATATATAGTTGTGTAATTGAAACATACCGAAATTATTTTCCCAAATATTATTTTCTTCACATTTCATTTGAGTTTTTATACTTTAATTTTTACTACTTCAAGTACAATTCTTCCAATAAAACCAATGGTTAGTCAATGGTTAAAGACACTTAAGAAAGGTATTTTTGAAACAAATTTACTTAGATTAATCATTTTTAAAGAATATCAGAACTCAAATACAAACTTTGAGAAAATTCTTGAACCAACATAATGATTAATCATTTTTTTTCCCTAGGTTGATAGCTTGACTCATCATTTATATTAAGAGGAATACTGTGAGTTTCTGACAGATTCAATGACTTGCATCAAAAATGGAAGGAAGGATTCAATATATCAAAGCTAGAGATGGTAGCCCAGAGGTTGCTCTTTGCCCAAGTAAGCACTCTTTTCAATTACCTGATAAACTCAATTTCTAGTTTCTAGTCAAATTGTATGCTAAAGGTCATTGAAAAGGAAGTATTATGGTTTTCAACTTTGGTCTTATTCAGGTTTAAATCAAAGTTGTTGCTAGAGAAACTTATCCTAATGGATGGAAAGGCAAATGCTAGGCTTTATGCAGTTGATTTTTTTTTTCCTTGAAGATGGGATTCTTAAAAATCCTTCACTATATGAATGTATAGCAAAATGCAGAGAAATGCACGAAATCCAATCAAGAAAAAGGTACTAATATTTCAGAAACCTGTAGCAAGAATAAAAAAAGATGGACTGCACAAAATCGCAATAGTTCTCTCACTAATCTCTGCAAAAAATCGCAACAGCTCTCTAAGCTACAGTGGTCTCTGGTTTTGAAAATCCAAAAAACACAGATACAAGAGTGAAAGCAACAGTTTACAAGAAGGGAATAACTGAGGTGACAAACCCAAAAGGAGGAAGATGCATAAATAAACAAACACAATTTCAAACAATATTCAACAAAAAATCAAATCTAACCGTTTTTTTTGCTTGAAGGCGTTGTTTGCTCGACAATGGCATTAGGTTTGTTACGACGACATTGGGTGGCAAAGATATCCTTAGGTAGACTGCAAGCAGTAATCATTGGGTGAATTGGGTAAGGATAGACAACAATAGGTACGTCAGTTTATAAGAAGAGAATGTTTTCTTGTTTTCTAGCTCTTTTTTCCAAAAACACTCTTAATTTCCATTGACTAGAAATTAGATTTCCTTGACTTTTTTCCAAAAAGACTAAACAAACAAGAAAAAATGAGAAAAAAAAAATTCTAGGACTTATAGCTATAAGTATTGTGAAAGCAAATATTTAGCATTAAATTAAGGATGAGGGCAACTGTCATAATGAGAACAGAGCCGCTGGTTAGAAGCGTCCCTGGTCAATATGCACGCGACTCTATAGACTATAGCCATGAGGCAAGAGGTACGTAGATTAATAAATAAATAAATAAAAAAAAATCCCATATATGTAGCCAAGACCATGAAGCAGATAGGATGAGACTGAAAACAAGGGTACTCACTTAGACCTGGTCGGTGATCTGATCCCCATCCCAGTCCCACTAATATATAGTTGGAATATGCACACAATCCCATCCCAATACTTCGGGATAAGTGTAAAATCGTCCATTAAGGTTTTGTCAAGTTCTATCATCTACCTTCATCTCCATTATTCTACACGGTGGAGATAAGCTGAGATCCTGGTTGAAGTTGAAGTAGAACCGTACCGCTATTTTCCTCTATTTTATGAATAAAAGATCCCTTAAAGTTACTCCAAGCATTTTCATAATGCAATAAATAAAAATAATAATAATTACAAAAACTATGGCTTCAAGGTGAGAAGAAAACGATATATAAATGACTACTTTGTGTATCCTTTGACAAATGTCGCTGTACAAGCACCATTTATACCCAAAACCTAATCTCATATTACATAGAAGAAACAAATACCTCACTGTTGTATTGTATAACACATGAAACGCCGCCTATACAGATCGATAGTTGGGTATTTTTGGGGCTCCCAAGTGAAACTAATATTTTAGATTTACATCCAAGCTCCCCATCCAGCAAACATTTGACATAAACGCTCAGGATCAATAGCATCTTGTATAAGCTGTTGAACCTGGGAAAAAAAAAAAAATTTCAGTTTATATCACAGATTAAGACAAACCAGCATTCCAATACTACATAAAATGAGTGCAAATGAGTTTTAAATTGTGCCCCAATGTTCCAGGTTGAAACTTCAATCTAAATAACTTTCTAGATCTGCTGATGTCCTAAAGTTGCATTTGCATAAATAAATGGGATCAGAAGCTTTTGATAGTAATAATCTGCTAGCAGCATTGAACTCTGGTTTTCAAAAGCTTTTGTTAGTAATAATCTGCCAACCTCGAATCAGAAACACAACTAAACATCTGCTTCAGCAGATCACTTGATTCCTAATCCCAGCACATAATTCTGTACCATACTTATAAAGCAACGAATATAAATGAAATCTCAACGCAAGGTCATTCCTGACTGCATCACCACTCCAAAACATGCTTACAAAGCAACCAATTGATTAAAACTCACAACACAAGATAATTAGGTGGTTCACACACACACAGATCTTGCTAACTTGTTTGCTGATACCAAATTTGTTTGAAATATACCAATTACCAAATACCAAACCCAAACTCATCCCTCAAAAAAGACAAACTTCATGCCTGGCATTCCTTTGTATGTGAAGAATGTGAACATTCAGGTGGTAATACTAGTGATGCTGGAAGAATACCTGTCCATGTACACTTCTTAATTCACCTTCTTCATATCCATCAAGTTTTTGCCTTACACGCATCAGTGCACGTTCAGCATCCTTATTACCTTCATGTTGATCTTGTGTGTCTTCCAAGCCAGTCTCCAAATCGTAATCTGTTTCCTACCAATAGCAGTAGGGAAAGCAGGAAAAACAAATAAGTAGATAAACATGAGCACGAATACGGGCATCATAGGAACACTACAAATATTTTCCCCATGACCAATTAGAAGCAAACAGGGAAAGACTGAGAAGCCACAGGAATGAACGAATACTAAGAGACATTCAAGCCCCCAATGAATGTAATCTGAAGCCAACACAGAATATTAACAGGCATGCACACTCCTGTCAAATGTCAAAACTTACTACAAGCATACTGATATCGTAATGTACGGAACAACTGCCAAAGACGATTGGAGTTTGCAGGCCAAAGAGCACTTTTCTATTTAACAGGTCAAAGCAGTAACTGTAAGCCTTCCATACTATGAAGGTGCATAAATCACATGCTTATATTTTTGAGGTAGTTGTTTGCATTCAGCATGCTGAATTCATTTTGACGAATCACAAGGTTAACTCACTGATGAAACCATTGCTTTCTTTTCTTTTCATTTTAACCTAAAAACAACTGTAACAACACTAACAAAGACCACCATTGAGATTCGGCAAAATATACGAGCACTATGAAACTTTTCAAGAATCTCCTACCTATTGAAAATCTGCAAGAGTTTCTGTATAGTTATAAGGGTTAAAAAGCAAAGGAAGATTTCTGTAAAGGCCAGATTGTTTAATTAACCCAAGTTACAATAGTGCACATTTTCTTGAATGGAAGCAATGTGCCATGTTTACAAATCTCACGAGTTCAAACAGTATATGGTTATTGGTGGAGAAGCATTCAACACCCAGAATTACCTTTTGACGCTGCAAAGCCTTGAGAGGAGATAAAGCCCATTTATACAATGGGTCATGGATAAAAACCTGCAAGAAATTTCCGCATATTACTAAGATATAGAAAAAAATTGAATAAAATAAAAACTTCAATCCTGAAAGTTACTTGTCAAAGAAATCATACTTCAACAATGGTCAGCAATGCTTCTTTATTTGTTCGCATAACAGAGAGAGTTTCCTCACAACATCTTCTAAAAACCCCTTCCACTCCAGTAACACCCATGCCATCAACAATGTCTCTTGTCAGTCTGAATGGAACCTGAAAATTTATCCAAAAAGAGGTCGTATTAAACAGCAATTAATAAACAACTAAAGGTGAAAAGTGAAGAAAATGCCAGGATTGTCAGTCTGAATGAAGCCTGAAAATTTATCCAAAAAGACAAACAAAAGAGGCCATATTAAACAGCAATTAATAAACAACTAAAGGTGAAGAGAGAAGAAAATGCTAGAATTGAAACAAACAAACCCTCTCTGGTGTTTTCAGCATCAAGCCTTGGTCAAAAGCAACACCAAGATCTATATGAACAACTTCTGCAGTAGCTTGATCAATTAGGATATTCATGGAATGCCTGTCTCCTAGGCCAACAATGTAACCCACCTGAAAATAATACCAAACCAATTATTGGAATAGAATATCTCTGATGTTAAGTCAACTCTTTAAAAAGACCCAGCATGGCAATTCTAATTAAAATAATTAACAAAATAATCATTAAATCAATCTTCCATTTGTTCTGCGGTTTTAGAAAACATGCTCCACAGGATGTCATGTTAAGGTAACGTAGTATTTTATGTCCAAGTGGTTCCACTGAAAATAAATTGAAATAGAGTCTGGCAAAAGAAGATGCATGCTAAATTCCACAAATAAGAAGAATGCTTTATCAAAGAATAAGAATTGAAGATCAATGTGACAGAAAAAATAGAATATACTGACCATTGAACTGGCAGCCAAGCTACGTGTGTATGCAAGTCTCTTCTCAAACCAGTCAGCTGGTTGCAAAAATCTCTCCAAGAAAAAGTGATGCATGACAGGCCTGCACGAGATGCCAATCCGGTTTGTCCGTGTGAGCTTCAATCTTTTGAAGTTGAGTGTCTTTCATAACAAAAGAAGGACAAACCTGAAGTTCTGACAGACTTCCTGGAATGCTTTGCGCTTGTCCTTTTCCTGTTAAAGTGTCATGATGACTTTAGAATTTTCTAAAGGTGAATGAAAAAGAATGCATTGCAAAAATAAATAAAAGATAAATTAACTTTCAGCTATATATTTCAAGCTTTGGTGAAGTTAGCATAAGAAACTGAAAGAAAGTTGGTGACTTGGTATCATGAAACTCGTATTCATGCTTTCCCAAAACAGAAAATAAAAATATTGATCTGTCATTTTTAGGATTTATAAATCTTGTGTTTGCTCAGCAATACAACAAGGGCAATTTACCACGGCCTTTTCCTCTCCCTAAAAACTTCTGATTCTAGATCTTTCCTTTTTGGGAAAAAAATTGTGTAATGATTGGTTAACCCATCTTCTAGCAGAAATTTCTAAAGGTTTTATCTCAGGGCACATTGCATCACACAGAGACAATCCCCAGTCCAAAAAAGAAAAAGAAAAAAAAGCAAAACTCAGCGTTTCAATTGATCAGCTCACATTTTTACCAAAATCAAGATGTTGGGAATTCAAGGAGGGCCAACACATTTCCAAAACAGAAACTAAATCTGATCTTCTAAACCATAATATAGAAAGAAGCATCTTCAAGTCTATAATATAAAACCGCAATGGTTCTCAATTAGTGAAAATGCAGTCTTGAGCCACCAGTTAGAATCAAGTCTCACAAGTTATACTGCCACAGCAGGATCTTGCTTAGGCATCAAAGCTAAGAAGAAATGATGCTAGACAGCCTAAGCTACATTTAGAAATGGGTAAATTTAACTAAACATCTGAACTGGTACACTCCCAAACAAGTAGCATTAAATCCTTTCTAATTTGTCTAAGGACCACCATGTGAAAAGATTTGTCCATGGCTTCACTAATAACTCCCACTTGGTTTTTATGTTTTTTTCTTTATTTTTTAATTCAACAGTCCTCCCATGTTGCTAAACTGTATATAAATCACCTAATCAAACATGGAAATAAAGAAAAATTAGTAAAGTATGCTGCAATTGGTGTAATGAGTCAGTGACCTTGTACTTAAAGAACACATTGATTATATATAGCTGTCACTTTATCCTATACTACCTAGTACACCCTATACCCACCTTTGAGAATTTGAATCAGTTGAATAAATGATATGTATGACGTTTTTAACATACCTCAAACTCAAAACATATTGAAGGGACATAGGCAACATTAAAATTAATTTAAAACTAGAAAACAAAATGGTACTTGCATTTGACATGTGCTCTCGGCATTTGAGAAATGACCAGTCTCCCACTCCATAGCGACCATGAGCACCACCATTTCTTGTGCTGAAAAGTAAGATGAGACGATGATATCATTCAAGCATCTTACCAAACCAGCTGTCAAGTTATAACCTTGCACCATATGATTTAACTAACCTTCCTATAAGATATTCTCCAAGGGGAAGAGTTCCATTAACCCATTCAAGAACACCAGCACTTGGAGTGAAAGGAACAACCTATTCCACCAATAGAAATGTACTTGTTATAATCAGCAGACACTAAATTTGGCTATAAATCATAATTTTGTTTTGTTCTAATGCTTAGAGGTGATTAATTAAAGATGGGTGACGTTATCTGGGTTAGTAGAATTCTCACCAAATTAACCATCTGATATTAATTTATCTAACCACACCTCACAACAACATTCTAGGCCCACAAAACTCAAAACTGCACTCACTGCTGACACCACTAAAAGCGCACACATTTTGGAAACAAGAACAGTCTTTAAACAAAATTGAACTCCCAGATTAAGGAGTAATTTAACATGTCACTACGCCCACAATGATGACAACTTGGCATTAAATTAGAGAGAAACAAAAACATCAATTGACTTGGCCAGTTTAAACTCTATCAAAAAACCAATAAATTAGACTTCCCAAGATAAACCCTCCAAAAGACTTGATTCCATCTATGAATAAAGAGAAACTGTAACAATCCACATTGATGGCAAATTATTTAATATCATGCAATGGAACTTTCGTTTTTTTCTTCCTTTTGTTAAATAGGATAATAAGGAGGCCCTATCCTGATACAAGTATAGGTAAAGATAGACAATCAGGTATAAGGCCATTTTTGTTTGGACAGAAAAAGTAATTACAGAGAGAACTGTCCAAAAACTATTACAATGATCAAAGTCAAGTCTGGAATAAAAACCTACAAACAGATACTCATTATACAAAAAGTACCATCAAACACTTCAGCTGGTAAATAACGCAAATAAAAAGCATTAAGTCAATATGGTGGAAACATCATTTGCGTAATGATATAAAATCATTTGGAAAAAAAGTGAACACATAGGACAGTTCAACAAAATAAGCATAATTCATCTTATAAAATCATTTGGAAAAGAAAAATGAGCACACAGGACCCTGCAGCAAAAGAAGCATAACTCATTTAAACAGCTGATACAGACATGCTAAGAGGTCAATAGTCAAGCATATTCAGTACAAGAAATGAGAAATCTCAACCCAAGAAAAAAGAAACTAAAGACAAATAAGACAAAGATTACCTAAGACAAATAAACCTAATGACAGACTTTCACCTTTCAATGATAGAAAAGTCAAAACGACCATCAAAATTAAACAATATTTTCTAAGTAGATACCTTGTATGTTCGTACACCTAATCTTCTTTTCCATGTATCCCTGTTATTTTGTAGAAAAGTGTTAACCAGACCAAAAAATTGTTCCATAACCTGCAAATCATGTACAAGATCTATCAACAGCATAAAAGAAATGGAACATGAACTTGTGAAACTCTAAAAGAAAATACAATATTTCAAGACACAAGGGAACCACTTTCGTAGACAACTCTAGATGATGGAGAGAATTTGTTAAGCAGGAGAAGGTATTATCCTTATCAAACCTACATAGCACAAATTCTAACAAGAAATTGGCTCTTTCATATAGTAATATGTCCATTCTGCTGGTAGCAAGAAAATGTTCATTATGCCTGTATGAGGCCATATTTCCAACAAGGTCTAGAGTTCAATATGTCTACACGTGCCTGTGTTAATTTATCAATATCATGCACAAAAGGAATTCAACTAGGCATAGGACATAACCGTCAATTTATGCACAAGAGGCATGCTCATCAATAAACCTAGCAGGAATTGGAAGTTCCAATGTTTAAGACCATTCGCTTCAAAAAGTAAGGCTGGAAAATTTATATGCTTTCATGAAACTGTTAAGAGGGAAGTAGAGAAGAAACCACATCGGATTCTTACAGCATCTTGTCTTAGGTCATCATTTCCAGACTTGGCCAGCTGCCGATACTTTTGACCATCAGAACCAAGGCATTCAACCACTTTTGGAGCATTTATACCATTCATTACCCTGCATATTTGTACCAAATTGCATTTTTTCTTAATCAGTTCAACCATGGCCATCATGGCAAGAAATGAAAAATAAAGCAGTACAACTTTCATCTGGCTGACATACATAACTGAATCAGCTAATCCCTTGAAGTGTGGGAAGGAACCTTCATTATAATGACAATCACGGTCAACTGGGAACCTAGCAGTCACTACAGGAACCTGAAGATCCAACAAAGAGCAAAAGCTTTAACGTAGCAAGATACAAGGACGTGAATAATTAACATCCACGAGTGAACTACAAGATACAAGAGATATGCCAGTATCTCATATGTATATATTATGTGGTCAGAACAAGTTCAAAACTTTAAATTTCAGAACGTAATCGGATGACCATGCCATGATGGTGAACTTACAAGTTCCAGCTGACGAACACTGCGGATTTCTCTTGGAAGTGAAACCCTTTTGTTGGTATCCTACAAGAAACATAAACAAGTAAAAAAGGTGGTGGTTTGTTAAAATTGTGACCGGTCCTCCATCCCCTCTTCAAGTGCAGTTAAACTTTGTAGGATCTTACACATCTTAAGAAAGGTAAAAATTTAGATGCAAGAAACCAAATAACAAAGTTAAAACTGGTTGACAAACCTCTCTCTTTGTTTCCAACTCAGCCAGTTTGATATAGATTTCAACCATTTGTTTCATCTGCATTAGTAGCAAATGCGAAAGATTTCCATGAAAAGCTTAACAGCACAAAGAACATTTGAAAGTTTATGAAATGAAGATCAATGTTGGAAGATACTTGTGTAATAATGGCCCCATGATATGAGGACAACTCTCCTAGAAGCCTTTTTGCTGCAGTTATTTTATCCATATCCACCACAAATGAGTTTCTACTACGCTGTTTGTCCTTGATACGGTCACCATTTGCCAAAGCTAGAAGCTAGCACCAAAAGACAGAGAAACATATAATATGTAGTATAAACTTCAATCCAGTACATGCATGCATCAGTACACCTGAAGAGGTATTGCAACATTAACATACAACCACTCATGCATACATCAGTACATCTGAAGAGGTATTTCAAAAGGACTTTCATCACATCTGCTATGACAGTGAAATGACTTCAGGTTTTCTCCATCACTTGGTGGCAGGTTGACAAGCAATGCTAAAATTTTCATGTATTCAATTTGCACCAAAATGAAAATTTCTGTCCTGCAGTTTAATTTTGCTAAATTGGGTCAGCTGAAAAATGAACCTTAGATACCTGAAAAATGGTATGGTATGGATGGTCTATAGCCATTTTCTTCACAAGAGAAGCCAAAGCAAACTGTATAATCCCAACACAGATATTAAAACAAAATCACACTTTGGCAAGATGGGTGAAATGAGAGAAGGAAATAAATATGCAAGACAGCTAAGACCTGAAAATTATTAGGTCCCAAACTGTCCTTCGAGCTTCCCATTCTTGAAGCAATTTGATAAACTAACGGTACAAATTTATAGGACTGAGCCTGCAAACAAAGTTGGAGAGGAATAAAACAAAAATCAAGAGTATCAAATACTGGAAAAAGTCAAAAATAAAAAATTTAAGAGTTACAAATGTTTTATTTTGTATTATTATGAAAATATTTTATTTCGATTCTAAGATCGCAAATAACATTTAGTACTCCCATTGACTTTTACCTCATCAATTGTGTCAAGCATGTTATTTATAACATTTTGTCTCGAAGAAAGACTGAACCACAGAGAAACAAGTCGGAAAACCTGAAAGCATAATATACATTTGATGGTCACAAGATACTGGATTCTACAAATCGTATCAGCATAATATTCATTATTTACAATGTTAAAAATCACTTGCTGTTATATAAAAGATTGCAGAATGACAGCATTTCTAAAACTTTTGCAAAAAACAGATTCAATAATGACTGGTATTTACTGCTGAGAGTCCATTGCACACTCTTCCAGTTCACTGCTCTATGTAACAAGTGCATACAACTTTTTCCTATAGAACAGAGGTCTGGGATAAAAAGTGCATACCACTCTCACATCATATTTGTCACCTATCACCAAGCAACGCTTGTATCCTTCCAGTGCTAGGCTGAGAAAATTGTCCCTGTCATCCTGAGGAGTTGAAGTAAGCAATTAAACAAAGAGTAAGGCTATACGAAGAGAAAATGGTAACAAAAAATTTTGTTAACACAAATAACATTCAATGCAATGATTTTATAATCACTTATACGCCATTCATCACCTAGAACATCAGTCAATAAATTTTTTATGTATGACTTTTTTCATTGTAGAGAGTTTTCCATAAGCAATTTAAGTTGGATTTGTTATGTATAACAGACTAAACACCAGCCACACCAATGACAATCAGAAGTGAAATGATGGATTCAACAAAGTAAATCACTAACTACCAAAGTACGTTGCTAAAACTCCATGCATATTCTGACTTGGAAAAATCATTCCACAGTATATCTAACAGCTCTTAAATTTCAATGTTTAATAACAAGGACAATCATTTACAGGAACGACAAATAGTAGCTCATGTCACAAAATTTAGCCTCTTCACAATACATGAAATCAGATTTGGATAAGTCATTCAAAAGTATATCTAACGGTTCTCAAATTTCAATGGTAATAGAAAATATAATGGTTTGTATGGATTGGTAAATCAGCACTCTTCAAGATGATAACATGTAGTCTCCTCCCATTAAATAAAAAGACAGTCTCATGTTATGCTTTAGTTCTGAAAATAGAGTGAGTGCACAATAGTACCTTTAATTTTTCAGCCTCTTCCTTGTCCATTGCAAGTTGCTTTTGCAACTCAAGTATTTTGAGGGAGTAGTCATTCTTCTCTCCCTAAAATATCATGAATCAGAAATTTATTACCAGGCTAAAACAAATCCAAAGGCGCTGAGTCCCAGAGTGCACTATCAGCAGGAAGGGGAAAAAAAAAAAAAAAAGGGAACTGGTTTGGGTATTAATACATACCTTCGTTGAACTTCTTAGCCGTTTAACAATTGCCTCCAACTCAGCTGCCTGCAAAATAAGATTCATATAAAATTGCTGAAGTTATGACCAACACCCACCCACCCACCCACCAGACATCACAAATTGGTACCTTGTGTTTCCTTAAACGCATTGCTGCTTGCCATTCACTAGAGGTTAGTCTTTCCTCACATGACTTGAACAGAGCATCTGCATAGTGTGCAAGATGAAAATGAGCTTGGCTTAGTCTTTCTATGGACTTCTTGTTAGTGGTCTTGTGAGCTTCGGCAACTGAAACTGCAGGTTTTAGATACTTCTCTAAAATAGTTCTTGAGCTGCATATGAAATCAGGTGTTGCATGAGAGAAAAATGAGCATTTTTCACTATATATAGATGCTGATAAAAAATAATTCTGCCAAGTTACAGATAAGAATTATAACTTGCTAGATCGAGTTTCTGCCAGCCACTTTCCAACCAAGCGATATACATCTGAACCTTCTTCGTTTGCGTGACAATTTTGGGAAATGTATTTTGCAAGGCTGATAGCCGTCTCATGCTGACCTTGGGCACGCAATAGCTTTGCTTCTTCAAGCTGCCATTATTTAAAGTATAGTACTTAAGTTACAGTGATTTTCTGTTGTGACATCTCGGAAATATGCATATGCAAAAATGTTGAATGTGAGGTACATCAATGTATGGAATTTAATGAGTAAACTATCAATCAGAACAACTTGTATAAACTGGAGGAACAGACATAGGCATGGATTCAAAGGCTTGTTGGCTAAAGGCATGGAATTTAATGAAAGTGCAACAATTGATGGAAAACAAGAAGGTTAATAAATAACTTAAAGGATTTCATTTGAACTTTCTTTAAAACAGAAGTATTAAATAAATTCCAACAGGACCAATCAGGCATTCAAAACCATCAATACAAGGCATAGCATTCATGTACCTGAAAATTCAGGACTCTGAAATCCCATCATTGTTGAATTAGAAAATCATTATTTAGAAGCAATTGAAAATACAGGGTTAATAATAGTAAAACGAAAAAGCTCCATGGTCTGTAGTATCACAGTACATCAGCAAATAATTTAGAATAATGCGCAGATCAGCAAATAGTTTTTACCCTGCCAAGCCAATACAAAGTTGAGGAATGCTCTCCAGTTCCAGCACTAGCAAGCTTAAACTCATGCAGAACTGCAGTGGATTGAGAAAACCTAGAGCCCTGCCAACCATTGAGCAAAATATCAGTTGGGGGCCAACAAGGTATCCTGGTATTGAAAACTGCCAATAGTACCTTGCGAAGAGTGGATGCAGATTGCAAAAGATGTTGCGTTGTACACTCATTACAATTCAAGACCTGAAGCAAAACTCGCCTGAATGCTATGAATGGTTCCAACAAATTCATATGCAGCTGTGATTGTTCCAAAATAGAGTTCCAATCCACATTCAACCATGACAACTATATACACAGGCAAAAACTTGTGTCAAGCAACCAGAAATGGTAAACTCAATTACTTTTATGGTTTCCTCACATATGTGACAACTAGCAAAGAGAAATATACTGAAAACAAAAACCCCTCATTAAAATTAGAAAATTGGATGAAAACCTGTTCCATGGTAGGGATTAAAGGTTCTGAAAAACATCGTCTTTTCCCCGGATAGAATTCTGCCCCTTCACATTGAGATGTTTCCCAACGGATATGCCATGCCAAGCCCAGATGATAAAGGATCTGTAAAAGGTATCAATTCATTATAATAAAAATCTAAAAAGCAAAGAAAAGGCAAAGGCAACATATCTATTTCCTTCAGATAAAACTGAGAACTGGAGGCACCTGAAGTGGCAATATTGGTTTTTCGCTCCATGGGGTTTTAAGGTTTACAAAGAACTATAAAGCTGACTTATAGTTTGGAACTTTCATATCTAGGCCAAAATATTCATAATATAGAAGTATTCTAACTTCAATGCTGTATTCTAACCATGTAATCACCAATTCACAATATGTAAATGATTATTTGATTTTTTTTAACAGGCAATATGTAAATGATTGTAAGTGTACTTGCCTACCTGGACAAAATACAAAAACATTTATTCGTTAAAAAAATAAGGGAAAATAGTTCCACCTATCCTAGTATTGTAGAGCTAGTCTCCAACATGTCCATATATGTTTAATTGCATGTATTATATCACTAAATTATTACAATAGGCTCTTCTATTAGAACCTGTCATCCAAATTAACAAAATTTAGCATGTGATTTACAGGTTAGTCACTAATATATTTTATAAGACAACCATCCTCAATTTCTTGTAAAAGAATTTAATATTGATAGTTATTTTTGATATTAAAGGCAATTCACATGTGTGCTTCTCACATGCTTACTAAATGCAGGAAAGGAAGTAATCATGTGTTCGCCACTTGTTTTCAAGGTTTCAAGCGATGGTAGTTTGAGCCTAAAAATAAATCTGGCAGTCTCTGCAATTCACTTGCCAAATTTCTGTAAATTTGAATGACACACTTTAAAAGGACTTGTTGAAAACATGGTATCAACTTAGGGACATAATTGAAGCAATTAATCATTCAGGGACAATAATCCTTAAAATATAGGGAAAAGTTGAGCTATTTGCCATAAAAAGGAAAAAAAAATTGGCTACATTCCATGGAGAAAGAGCCTACACACACTTCATCAACTATTGTGCTTTAAAATAGACAAGCAATTCATGTTAAAGAACATTACCTGAAGTTTAATTATTGTTGAGTATATGTTTTCAGTGCTCTCCTCGCTTGCACAGGAGACAGAGCACACAAGCTCCTGATGTAAATAAAACACTAATCACATATTATTGTTGTTGATGTTACATGCAAAAAGCTTCCAGTAAAATGAATCGGATAAAAACTTACCTGTTTTGAGCCCTTCAGTTTTCTGTGAAATTCATCAAAATCTCCCTCTTGAAATGCCCTCAAACAACTGAATATTCCATCCAGTGAAAACAAAATGATCAACGTATCAAAAGAAACCAATGCTCATCTCTTGTTACACTCAAGAAAACCAAGTCATTGGCTTCTCCAAGTACCATCACTATATTAAAATTCTACTTGTGCCTCTATCCGTAGTTCATATATCCATTATCAAAAGTAATGATACAGTTGTTATCATAGTGCAAAATGCAATGCTGTTTCCTAGCTACTTACCCATGCAAATTTTCATTGAAATGATCAAATTTAACATCTGGATGTGAAGGGGAATTAGCTCCCACAAAATGTAAGGAAAAATCCCAGTTTCCTGCACGCCAAGCAGCCTCATACTGCAAACAGGTGCCCAGAAGGTTTTCAAATAGTAAGGATATATAAGCAGACACAAGACAAAGAACTGCACTGTCAATGAAACCAATACAGTTTAGATGAATAAATAGCACACCTGCAATTCATTGAACTCCAAATCACAATGAAACTGGTCCCTTCTAGATGTCAATCCCTGGCAATATAAATCCAGCACATGTGTGCAACCAATCTGCTGCAGAGATCTAATCAGACCTTTGTAAGGTTTTCTCTGCCTCATATCTTCTTCTGATGCAGAACGTGATAGATGAGTTCCTGGTTGAGTATGCCCTGCTGACAAAGTACTTGATCCACCACCCATTTGTAGCAGGGGATCTGAACGTATTTGCAAGTCATAATACTCAAGCGCCTTACTCCAGTTCCCCTCATGCTCAAAGGTAACAGCTTGAGAGGTTAACTTCCATATCAATGCCACAAAACACAAGAAAAATTGTGAGGCTATAATTTTAAATACCTTGTGCATATAACAAAACTTGCAGCAAAAAACTGAAGCTAAACATGACATCACTCTCTTAGCTCTAAAGGGAAATGCATTCAATCGACTATCATCCCTAGTTTCTTTTATGACTACTGCTATCAGTTCAATTTAATGTTACCATTCAGCACTAACAATTAGAAACAAGCCAAAAGAGTTAACATTTGATCAATGAAAACCCAGTTGATTGTTCCATCTATTTAGAAAATGTATATCGCTCCCATAGCAGTACCAAAATATTTCACTAATATATAAAAGTCAACTAAATAGAAATGTCCTCAAATCAAGGAACATAAAGGTAAAGGATAAACAATCATGAGCAGCTAGTTGTAGCTATCATGCGAAAAACTGAAACAGAATTGCACTTTCCCCACTTTTCTTTCCTTTTCCCTGAAGGCTGCATTCAGATATTGCACCAATAAAGCCTTCATGTTAGAGAATGATGTTTACAGTACAATTCAGTTGCAGAGAGTATTTAAAAGGAGAAAAAAGAAAGATTTATATAGGATGAACACAACAACCATCAAGTACCTACAAAGAATCACAGACCTTGTGTGATTGGATGATCCCATATAAGCTGTCAGGTTCATTAATATGAGTGACTGCTGACAAAAGTATTTCAATGTGATGCGGCAACTGAAAGAAAGGGGGACAAAAGGAAGAAAGATATGGTTACAATAATTATTTTCCTCAAGAAACAAGAGAATTCAGTGCTGGAAAAATGAACTTAGCACTTTCTTGTTCACAGTGATCTATGATGTCGTACAAATAAATGATTATACTGCAATTGACTAAGAAATAATAAAATTATCTTAATGGTCTGACAAATGTTGTTAATTGATACAGCACAAATAATCCACAGAACTTACCACCTCAAGATGGGAGAAATCTGGGCTCCCTAGTGTAAGGCCATTAAAATGCTCTTCACACCAATGCTCCACATACATCATAGCGGTGAAGTATGAGCCACAAGTCTGTAATGGAGATGCATCCATGTGAAAAAAGAAAAGGTAAATAAATTGCCATGTACATGCTAAAGAATGTAATCTCAAATAAATAAATAAGGATGTTATTCAGGCTTGAAAACTCAATAAAATAAATATTGACGGTCAGATTATAATACTCACAACTGCTGATTTGGCAACAACAAGATAATCAATTTTCAGCCAATAAACCTGCCAAATATGTGAATTGTCAAATTTTTTTTGTAAAAAAAGCAGCAAGAAAGTAATATATACCAGACGCTAAATTTAAGAAAGCCTCCAACTATTTAGAGTCAGTATTTAGTTTCCCTTTTCACATGGAAATCAATTTCCAACCTTCTTAATCCCTTTGTTCTGGAATTTGTATATTAACAATTTACTAACAATAAAGATGAGGCACAACCAATGCACTAACAAGGTATAAAATAAAGCACCAAAATTTCTTTAAAACATGTGGATGTGTTGTGTGGGGAGAGGGAGAGAGAGAGAGAGAGAGATTATAATTGAAAGTTAACATGTAGATCTTGGAACCACAGAGTGAAAATATCAAGATGAACAAAATGAATACAGCTACATCACAACATGGAGCTTTGGCTGCAACACAACTGTCTCAAACTCACAGCCTATATTAATTTTGCATAAACAGAACTGCACTGCTCATAACGAATCTCACAGTTCTGACCTTTCATCTCCAACCAGAGAATATTTTGCACCAACTAATCCCAGTGTGAAAATCATTCACCACAAAAACATTGTTTTTCGACCCTCAATTTCTCTTTGATACCCCTAGCTACAATCCAACCATTAAATCATTCTCATCCACACACACAAACTGAGTGGAAACCATTTACCACAAAAAATAAAAATAAAAAATAAAAAATTATTGTTGGACCCTCAATCTCTTTGATACCCCTAAATGTGACACACATATATGCAGATATTTTTTATATAAAAATAAAAAATAAAAAACCATTTAAAATGCCACTTGATTAAAAAATTCTTAGACCAGTGCTATCTCTGCTTTCTCAACAGTGAAATCGATTTGTATTAACTTCAAATTATTGTTACTTATAAATTAATATCCTTGTTTTGCACACAGATATTTATCACTATTTCCACAAAGGTAATCTAACGAAATGTATATTTAAGAAGACTTATGTACATGTTTTGTCTCCAAGTCCTTACTTCCAACAAGTTTTAGCCTTGCAGGATCAGATCTGGAACCCAAGATAAAGTATCAAATTTTCCACAAGCTTGAAATTAATCGAATTAGGAAACTTTTGGTGGCCCTTTATGTTCAAAATTTGGACAACTTCTGTGCATAGGTACCTGGCATATGTTTATGCCTGGATGTACAGGTTGCCTCATATGATAAAACCAAATCTTAACAAATGCTTCCAAGGAACATATGTAGCATAAAGTTGCAGCAGCTAGTTTATAAGCATGTCTAAAAAACCATACCTTGTCCCAGGAAGATGTTGACATCACCATTGAACTTGATGCAGCAACTGAGTCTCTAGCTTTTACAGAAGTGGAACGGGATTTTGAGCCATAGCTAGAAGGCTTAGCATTCTAAAAAAACCATAGGACAAAAATAAATAAATAAAAAAGAAAGTCAACAAGTTTGGCATATATTAGTAATTACAGCAGTAGGTCATCAAATTATTTTCATAAGATATAAATCCTTTTAGGTAAAAGAAAATCCTATATTCTACTGACTCTTGGCAAAGCCGTAAGGGATCCGATCCTCAATACATGGCATATATCCAAAAATCTTAAGGTTTCCTTACCCCCAACTAACAGCTAGGTAGAATTAGCAAATGATAACAGTTGCTGCATGCTTAGCAACATAATCGAATCACTGCTTTTTTTTTTAATCTCTTAGTTTGTCTGCATGGTGCTGGAATCAACAGCCTTATCCTCTCCATATGGCATCAGCTGTATCCAACTTATAATCTAAATAAGGTATGTAAATTACAATTAAAGACCACTTACTTTATTTTGCTTTAAACTCAAATCATGAGGATCAAAGCATGGGTCAGAAAGCAAAAATTCTTACCAGTATGCTAAGACTTATTTATGCATGAGCATTTCTCAACAAAAGAATTGCTTCAGGTATAGTTAGAGTTACTTTTCTCTCCCCTTTTCACCCATCGTAGCAATTACGGATCGCCATTCAATTTGGAAAAACCAGAGGAGATTCCAGCAGTATAGTAATAGTAAAGAAAATATATTGCTTTGTGCAAAATGGTGCAGAAATAATTGTGAACCTAAAGAGAAGTAGCAGATAGAAATGAGAGCATACGAAACTTAAGAAATCAAATTTCATATTTTAGAATGCATCCTACAGATGCAATCCAATTTTTATGCACTTGCCTTGGTGCTCTCTCGCTTTGATTGTTCTAAAGAAGATTTTTCCATGATGTTACATAACCGAAGTTCATTTAGGGCATTCAAGAAGACTTGAACTGATTTAATCAACTTGTTGGACTCTGTCAGTACATGTTCCTGCACCTGCATGTAATAAAAAACAATTAAGGTGTAACCATGCAAAATAAACTGCAGCAAGTAATGAGAATAGCATTCCAAACTTCACAAGTAACAGCATAAACAGAGTCGGTTGTCAAAACATTCACATCCAAGTCACATCTGACTGATGCTAATTTTAACTATTCCCTAACCTATTGACTTATGTCATATGAGATAGCAACGACAATAACATGATGCTACAGTATTTTAAAAAAACCACATGGATGTCCTTTCATATATTTAAAACAAATATACTTGATATAAAATATATTAGCTAAAATAGAAAATAACAAAATAGAAAAGGAAACAATTCATCTCACTGATATGTGAAGGTTAGACAACGCAATAACAAAGCTCTAATAGCCAACTACCTGAGAACTGTTACACATTCAATTTTCCCAGATTGAATCTAAAGCCACATGTCTAGGTAACTTCTATTGCCACTTGAATTTGCTTTCATATTGCTGTAGTTGTGTTCCGTATGGTGCCGACTGAATCAAGTTTCTCTTTTTCTAGAATCCATCAAATGCTATCATGACTGCTATGACTGAAAAGCAGTAAGCTTAAAATCCTAGAGCAAGGAATGCAGTCTCCTGATAATGTCTTTTCCTTGAATCTTATTGAAACACCAGAAATACACAACACTTTTATAACAATCACAAGCATTTATTCCATGTCTCTAGATAATGGTACTCCCATGTATCATATCGAAACACTAGGAACGAGACAGTCTATTACATATGGATTCAAGCAAGCCTTGTCAGATCATACCTTGTTCTATAAACAGGATCATAATGATATTACCTCGCTTCTTGTTTATGTTGATATGATTGTAACAGGCAATAACAGAGATGAGATTGAGAAACTTCGAAGCTATTTAACCAAAGAATTCGAGATAAAGGATTTGGGGCTTCTCAAATACTTCCTAGGCATTGAAGTCTCTCGATCTAAGCAAGGCCTGTTTCTTTCCCAAAGGAAGTATACTCTAGATGTCCTTGCTGAAACTGGTAACTCTGCTTGTGAGCCTATAAATACTCCTATTGAGGTAAATCATGGCTTGTCTATTTATCCTGATCAAATTCCAGCAAACAAGGAGAGATATCAAAGGATAGTGGGAAAGTTGATCTATTTAACTCACACAAGGCCAGATTTAACATATGCAGTTAGCGTTGTGAGTCAGTTTATGCACAATCCAAGTGATCAACACATGAATGCTGTGAATCGAATTCTGGCTTATTTAAAATTAGCTCCAGGTAAAGGTGTCTTATTTTCCAAACATGGACATCTTGATGTTGTGAGTTATACAGACTCTGATTTTCCTGGTAGTAGATTAGATAGAAAATCTACTTTCAGATATTTATCGTTTGTTGGTGGCAACTTGATGAGTTGGAGAAGTGAAAAACAGAATGTGGTTTCATTATCAAGTGCAGAAGCTGAATATCGTGCTATGCATCATGCAATCACTGAACTTTCTTGGTTGAAAATCCTCTTAGAAGAACTCAGGTTTGGTCCAAAGAAGCCTATGGTGTTGTTTTGTGATAACAAAGCAGCTATTAAGATTGCTAATAATCCAATGCAACATGATCGAACTAAGCATGTTAAACTTGACAGAAACTATATCAAAGATAATCTCGATTCTGGCACAATAGAGATTCCTTATACCAGAAGTTCGGATCAGTTGGCTGATATTATGACTCATGGTGTCGCTAGTGGGCCATTCTATACTTCGCTATCCAAGTTGGGCATGTGTGATATCTACGCCCCAACTTGAGGGGGAGAGTTAGCAGGAATGAGCTGTATTCTTTCCTATCTCCTATCATGTATATTTCCTATATAGTTTTCTCTTAAATTAGGAATATACACACAGCTGTAGTTTTGATCTATTTACCATGTATAAGTCCTTGTATCTTGTATATATATGATTAGAATATATGAAAGAAAGGTATTCCGCATATTAACAATTGACTGCAAATAACAGCACTTGCCATTAAAGTTTTACAACCTTTAATCCTTCCAAATCTAACAAAGGACCAATTTTGTGCTCATCTATTAGAGGACCTCAAACCCTCTCAATATCAGCAAAGGATAAAACCTTCCCTCCTGTCTCCCCTTTGCTCCAACAGTCCCCATGATGCATTAACCTCAATAAAACAAGAAACAGTGTCCATCAGAACTACCTCCATGTGAAGTGAGAATTCAAAATTCTAACATTTCTTTCCAAGATGATGCACCCGGTTGACTGCAAATACAGCATGTCACCATTAAAGTTTTACCGCATTTCATCCTTCCAAATCTAACGAAGGATCATCCAATAAATCTTACTTTCATTCTATGGGGATTATCTTCCTCCAAGTCCCCTCTTTTTATATGTAGAGATAAGGAACTAACAATGGTCACCAGAAAGAACAGATACTACATCCAGCTAACAACAACCCCTTGAGCAACGCTGAAATTTCAATACATCTGTTTTATTCATATCACCTACCCTTAAAAACTCTAGATTTTTGTTCACCAAGTCTTTAGACTAACAGAACTATGCCTTCTTGTAAATAATAAATAAATAAAAAGAAGAAAGATTTAGCATTCAAATTAAACCAAATAAAGATCCATGAATCATTTAAATACTCAATTATTTAGATATTACGCATCAAAGAAGAAATAAAAATTTGTAAAATAACTAAATCCAACTTAACATCAAAATGAAAATTTACAGGGAAAATAATTTTTTTACCTGCAAAGAGATTAATTTATGAAGATCAAGATGAATATCCTGTCGACAAGCTAGATCTATGATAACACTCGGAAACAAAAGCTCAGCAACTTCAGCTTTCAATAACACGATATCTTGGCATAATCTAAAAGGAGCATAACAACCAAACCATCAGCAAAACAGTTACTTTAACAGGCAAGAAACAAGAATAAGACAGAATATCAGCATCTAGATCAATAGATACTTGAAACAAGTTATTAAACTTATGAAAAACATACTTTAATATAACATCATTGCTGTAGCTAACCAATGAATACACAAGTGGACAAATCCACATTTGGAAGGTCTTATTAGGTGTCTCCCAAACTGTAGACTCCTCCAATGAAATTGCTTCAGCTGAAAATGACAGGAAAAAAGAAACCATCTGATATTTCGCAGGAAAATTATACAACAAAAGTGAGACTAACAAAAAGTAGTGCGTTTATTGTTTAGTAATCTAGAATAAAAACAATATGAAAATGCATACATGTGCATATGCATGATTAAAGACTAAAGACGAACATTAACTTGGTTGCAGCTTAGTCTTAGAATGCAAAATGTATACTGAAGGAACAGAACCTCTACTCCAAATAAAAAAGAAAATTGACATTATAAATCATGCAAACAAGCTCCTGCAGAACTGGGTTCTCGCAAGGCAGTGAGGCACATGAAGCAGAAATCTCCATTAGGTGGGTTCTTAGATCCATTACTTTAAAATTTTCAGTGAATGCAACTTCCACTCAAATTCATAACAACTAAGAGCACAACTCATCTATACATAAACTCACCTTAATTCTTTAGTTGCAGACCCTTTCATCATATTCTCATGGATAAAACAACTGGTATTCAACAACCTATGATATACTACAAGATGTGGCCTATATATGTGGCCTGAATGGAAGATAAAAGGTAAATAAATAATAAAATAATGGAAATAGAAATAAGAAAATGACATGCTATTGAAGGAAAACAAGTAATCAAAAGTAGAAATAACCTAAACTCCACTTATCAAAAAGCAACTATAATAATTATGATGGTATGGCTGATATCAAAAACTCTTAAAACTTTTGATACATAGAAGTACTTAATATGAGAAACCTAAAACACTTTGGTATTGAAAAACATACCAAAATATTTTAAGGGAAAAACATAGTAGCACTTTACCTCTATACCTCTTTTCAAGATCCAACACTAACTTCTCCACCAGCTCAACATTTACACCCTTTGAGTGAATCTACAAGACAGAATTATATGGTTATTCCCTAATTAAATTCACCTTCATTCATAAATCAGAATATAGCAAATGATACCACAACCAAAGACAGTAAGTATACAAGTACAACTGCCAGCAATAATGGTCTAGCTCCATCAGAGTTGAATTACAACCCCAAAATGTGTTGTGAAAAAGGTGAAGATATCAGCTACTGACATACTCTAAGATCCCCATATCTTTTGGTTTTTCATCACTTTTTACATTAAACCTATCTGAAAGTACTTCCAAACCCAGGCTTGCATCCCTCTTACATTGGCAGTCCAGATTACTTAAAATTGTAATCTCAATCAACACTTAAACCTTCTTAAAGAAAGCAAGTTCAACATCAGCAACATTGCAGGTGGTACTGGGGTAGCAGCATCAGAACAGAGTAAAATCCATGCCTACCATACCAAAATGAGGCTTAGGTTCTAGCTATTAATAAATAAGTTCATCCCATCATCTTTCTCATAAGATAAACCTCATGAGATGAAATGGATCATAGAAACTGGTTCAGTGAAAGCATGCTTTGGGTTCATCAAAATGCTAATTAGAGGCCATGGAGAGTGCAAAATGTTTTTATGAGCATCGATTCTTGCATTTGTATTCTGAAGTCAATTAGTTTTAGTAGAATTAATAGAGAGAGTAATATGGCTGCTGATAGTTTGGCTAAGCAAGGAGTGGATAGACATGAAAGGTATCTTGCTTGGCTAAAGTCCTTTCGTTTCTACTCTGTAATTCCTTTTTTGCCATCAACTAGATGGCTCTCTTCATTATCTAATCAATTTTCATCAAAAAAAAAAAAATATATATATATATATATATATATACATGCTACCATGCCAAAATGAAAAAATTTTCACAGTATTGCCAGTAAAAATTATTAAGGACCTTATCTGCATAAAGAACTATTATAATAAACAAACCGTCAACTAGAATATGCATACCTCAATAAGAGACCTTTCATAACAACCAAACGACAACAGAGCTCTCTGACCTCTTTCAGTTGAGAGTATTCCCTGTTTGAGGGGAAAACTGTATAAGAATCTTCTCCATTTACTTTTATAGAGTACACACCTAAGGGCATAGAGCTGTTGGAATTTATAATAAATATTATCACTTTTGAAACTTCCAGATCAAACATGAAAATTAAGAGAAACGGAAACAGAGTTGAGAAAAAAATGTTTATTAAGGGCATAACTGATATAAAGGAAGAGAAAAGGAGATTAAATATCCACAGACATAAAGTTGAATGATTACAGCTGTGTTTGGCTTTGTTGTCCTTATATGTAAAGCAGGTGTTGCTGTAGGTACAAGCGCTAAAAATGAAAGCTGAATTAATAAAAGTTGATGGGTGTTTAGTTATTTGTGTGCTGCTGAGTTTGAAGCAAGCAACGAGTGTTTGGTTAAACTTCTATGAAAAAGTGGTGCTGAGAATCAAAATGGCAAATAAGGACATAAGTCTTTTTTGATCTATGGGGGTGGATTTGGAAAGAAAAAAAAACACATGTAAGATTAACAAAAATAAATAAATAAGCGCTGTTTATGGCTACTGGCTTGTTTTAGGGGAAACAAAGACCTAGAATAATAAGACCATAATTATTTGGAAGGTTGAGGGATAGTTTTGTCACCTAAAAACAAAAATTAACAGCTAATTTTGGAAGCATATCCTTCTTTTGAAAGAAGCGCTAATCCTTTGCTTTTTAAGATTTGAAGATTTTAAGGGGTTACCATATTTAATTTTACCAAACATTCACAGTTGCTGTGCCTTGAGTTTGAGCAAGGCCAAACAGAACTTACATCAATGACTTCCCAAAAATAAAAACAAGAATGTTTACATAAAGTTGAATGGTAACTTCATAAAAATTGAATAAGGGAATGAACAAGGGAATGAGAAAGCAAGATTTTTTGTTAACTCGGCTCAGGTAAACTTCAATAACAACAAACTAGTTAAGCTGTCTATACAAACAATTTTCTCCATTTTTTTTCTTACTTCAAGAATATTCAGAAGACAGAAGTTCTGGGACAAAGATTTAATACATTTAATAGATGAAGTCAAATTTTCACAGCACCCATTTAAATATAAGTAACAGCATGATTTATGATAATCTCAATTACGTTACCCAACCTTTACACTGTACATAACATACTAGTGTTTGAACTACTCATCAAAGAACCATGCCGAAATCAACCAGTAAAAGTCCACACAGACAATCAATCATTGCATCCACCAACCCGAGCAAAATTTAGCCCATATGGAAAACTACTGTTTGACAAATCTTTCAGGTATTGACATTTAATGCACATTTAGTTTTTAAGGTTTCATATGAAGAGTTTTATCAGTGCTCTAAGCATATTTAATGTTTCTGTTGGTACATAATTTCCAGCTTTATGCATCCAATATCCACCCCAAAAAAAATTTTGACCTGTGAGATTGCACAACATAGTAACAGAAAATGCAATAAACTGGCTAATTGGCACTTCCAAACTTATTGAATACAACATTGATCAGTATTTCAGATGTTTAGGATCAGCAATCAATCAAACAAATAAATAACTTGAGCCGGAACAAAACCATCAACAGATAAAGCCATCTAAATCTTCCCAAACTTACCCGAAGAGATTGTGAGGTCATATCAACAATTCTAACAGAATCATCCATCAGATACTTCATCAAAAGTTTCAAGAGTGCAATCAACAGTTCTTCAGATACGCCAGTATCCATATTAAAATTCCCTTCCATAGGATTGGTGATCCTCATGGGTTGACAAACTTTCATCTGACCATAGTCTACAGGTAGATGGAAAACAACAGAATGTGGGTCCCCAATGCCAACCTGAAGTCACAATCAATAGAATACAAACTGAGCTTCTTGTTTTCAGCAAACAAACAAAATGTAATATGTTCAAAGGCATGAACTTGTACAAATTGATACCTTGGACACAAAATCGGACACCAATGGTCTGATACTACTTGCATCATCTGAACCACATATGCGAACAAGTGTCCAGATTGATTGGGCAATTTCAGGGTCGTCGTGCCAATACACATTCTCCATAACAGCTTTTGCATTCCTTCCCCAACGACAACTTTCCCCCATGAATAACTTCTTGTGCAGTGCTTGGACACTGCAAGAATATTGAGCATCTCAGTCGCAATTAAAAGGCGCCACTTTCAAATCACATGGCTAGAGTATCACCATATAAACCAAATTTCAAACTTTTCTTAGACATGATGAGAAGTTGGTGTGTGTGTGTGTGTGTGTGTGTGTGTAAGTGGAAGATTACACAAAGAAGAATAAGGAGAAATCAATTTAAAAATAATTGATTTGGTTTACAGATTTCACTATTTTACAGAGTGATTGTAAATAACACCTAAAGTACACTCTATGAACATAAATTGGAACCAATAATAAGCTCAGGAAAACAGCTCAGAAAGGCCAATTACCTCTGTAAAAGTAATCTTGGTGGAAGGTAGAAAGATCTCTTGACGAACTGAAAATAAGTAATACAAATGAGAAAAAATAAAGGTGAAGAGTGAAGAGATACCACAATAACCAAAAAAATATCAGATTAACAATTAAGTGTAACTATTGACCTTCAATAAGTGGACCCTCAGAGAGTAAGTTTGGCATAACTGCTGATGAAACTCTCGTATATCATCAAAGATATCTATTTCAGGGAAGGGCTCCAGTTCCTTCAAGAGAAATAGCATGTCTTAAAAGGGTTAACTTTCTGCTGCTTCATATAATATAAATGTTACAAGATGAGACCATATAATTATTCATAAGCACCAAAGTCAATTTATGCCACAGTTGAAAGTCAAAAACGTACTCTAACATAATCATGAAGAGACGGATCAGAACCCACAGTCAGCTGGCGGAGCAAAGATAAGACTTCATATGCTCTAGTGCCAGAAATTTCCCCAGAAGTTTCAGATGGAATGCAGCATGCCACCAACTTCGAGACCAAAAACTACACAACCCACAAAAAATGAACAAAGAACTTCAGGAATGCTTTGGTTAAATTTAAATGCTAGGTCTTAGAATATGAGTACCTGAAGCTGTTCACCAAGTACACTGGCAATGTCTTTGGACGGGTTGCATTTGAATGTGTTGAGCAAAGCAGAAACAACCCGACAGCATTGATCTTGTAAAGCATCGCAACCAATGAATTGTCCAACCAAATTGAAAAGGTAACTGTCTCTCAAAACAAAAGGAGTTAGATAATACATAAAATGACTTAGATAAAAGATATATCTGCTTAAAGAACAAATTGCAATAGATACAGCAAAAAGCTCGATCCAGTTAGTGAAATTTAAGGAAAAAAGACAAACAAAGTGAAGCATTCATAAACCTAGAAGAACACAGAAGCAAAGTAAAGGCAAAAGCACGAGAAACAATGTCCAAGGGAAGGTAACCCATTCCAGAATCACATCCATCACACATTTTTAGATGGAAAAATGTTTCCAAAAGAAGACGTCATGTAAAACCAGAAAGATGGTTAATAATTCCTTCCTATTTTGTGGATATATGGATGCATCTACACCTTGCAGCTTCACATTCCTTCTAGAAAAACCATCTTCAAGGAGTTTTGAGGAAGATTGAAGTTAAAAGAGGGTGCAATTATATAGTAATGAAGTCAGAGAAGTAGGGAAGTAGGATTCATCAGATAAGTAAACAGAGAAATAAGGAGAAAAAATGTACAAAGGATGGAGAAGAAACAAAGTTTAAAACAGAAGAGAAGATAGTAGAAGCGGGGTTCCAAGACTTAAAACCAAAATAGATAGAAGTAAAACCCCAAACTACCACAATAGTTAAAAAATATATATAATTAATTATCCATGCAAATAACATATACATGTTTTTTTACCAGTCACTGAACAAGTACACTGGAAACTACGCTTCTACCAGTCACTAAACAAGTACACTGGAAACTATGCTTATACAAGGTTCTAAAATTTATCCAAAAATCCAAAAAAAAATTAAAAAACAAAATCTTTGGCACCATATAGCTTCCAAGATTAAATTTGCATTATGTAATCATATAGTTATATAAAATGAAAGATCAAAAACAAGGTTTGATAACTTTGTTGTCATTAAAAGACTAAATTTGACCAACTGAAGACATACTTGGAAGTGCTTGAAACAGCAGCTCTGGGCCCAATGATATCTACAAGCACCTCAATGCTAGCCAACCTATGGCATCTATGCCTATGATGAACTGCTGCTTCTATTTTGTAATGCATTTCCACTAGAAACTGCGTATCAAACATGAGAAGTATCAGCAACAAAGAAAGATAATGTTCAAAAATATAAACATGAAGGCACATACTCACCATGAAAACTCTATCTGGGCGAAAAATGTTAATCTTGTCAAGCACAGCAACATTTGTAGGATAATCCTCCCTACATACAACATGTAACATTTTTCATTTAAAAACAAAAAAAGATCCAGAGAAACACCATAAATTAAGTCAAGCGAGATAAGAAAGTAATGCACATTGCCAAAAATCCATCCACAACTGTTCGAATTGCATGTGACACAGTTTCCCTGGAAAAGAAAGGGATTGCAGGATCCAGCGCACAAGAGGCAAGGCTGAGAACATGGCTCACAATAGATACCTGCACATATTGAAGGAAACATAACAATATATGCAGTTGATAACTTTATATATTTATGTAGAGGAATGTAGTGAATTCAGATACTTAGGAAGAAAGAATGACATCAATCTGTCCACATACGAAAAATCCAACATGATTTGAAGAGAGTAAATTCAAGATTGTGAAAAGCACGATCTTATTGGCATGAAAATTTTAAGAATTTGTCTGCATACTACAGAAGGCATTTCTATGTATGTTTGTATCAGAAATTAGTACATATCGAATGCTCCTCGTTATGCATCCATCATTTCTCAAACAAATAAAAACTTTAATATGTAATATCATCAGGAATTTATCAATTAAGCACACATCGCACTCCCAAGGAGCTAGCTAAATCTTAATACCTAACCGTGGAATAGAACAACTGAACTTTAAATCGACAAAAGATGTAAACCAATTCCATATTAGATTCACATTTTTTTCTCCTGCCACTAACATGTTAGTTTGCACTAGCGCACACAATAAACGGAAACAGCCAATTTGAACATTTTTATCCACTGAAATATCTTGCTCTCCACAAACTAGACTAAGAGCTTTGTATTCCAAGTAAAAGGAGCGCACCATGTGCTTCTTTATGAGATTGTCTCTTTCACTCTCAGATAGCTCTGCCAAACACAGAATTGAACTCTGAAGCACCATAGCTCCCCTTTCCCAACCAGATCTCTTACTACAATGCAATATGATACAGACTGAAAATATTGGCACAAAGTGAATTTTAACTAGAACTGCCAAAGGCTGAAATGCAACCTGCAACAATACACATTTGTCAGCAGTCATATAAAACACTAGTGCTGTTACAAAGTAGCAAATACAAAATTCCAGACATTATCTCCTACCCTAGCCACCCAGTTCAGATTGGAGCTATCTTCATTCAGAACCAACGCTGGAAGAAGCCAGTGGCAACAGTATTGCATGAAATAACTAGGTTCAGCATCTGGCACAAAAAGTTGCCGTATCTACAAAGCACAATTATTAAATGGTCAGGTGAAGTAGTTACTTCAAATCATATGTTAAATACAAATACATCATGATTGCAGAATTTAATTTCAAGTAGGTAATTTATGTTATCCACATTCACAGATATGGCTACGCACATATACCATTTGCATAGCATAAAAACCAGTCAAACAGTTATTCACGCTGCAAATCCCAAACATTATCAACCTAAAATATGGAATTTGCATGTAAAGGGACACAGAATGTTTAAATCAAGCTCAAAACCTTCATATCCATTCCTTTCCAGAGTTGTTGAATAGTACACAACTTCAGAGTCTTATGATGTCTACAAGATTTTCAGTAGGGGTTGTCACGTCCAAAGCAACAAAATTCAACTCACAGGTTAGAGCCCACTCATTTTCCATTTCTGTACAATACGAAATTATCTATATAAGTAGATGCCCTCATAAACCCCTTCCCTCTCAATATTTCCACTGTTTACAGGACTGATATCTTGATAAAGTAAATCTCTTGGATATACCCCTGAGACATTCCAAACTTTTGTAGTTTACTCACCTAATTATAAATTAAAACATCTACTCCTCCCAATGATCTAGATCTGATGGTATGATGGATGCACCTTTAACAATGACAAATCAGAAATTATAACAAAGAGGGGCAAAAAGAAAAAACCCCTACAGTTGAGTTACAAATATATATAAATATACACATATACATCATATATATATATAATCCTATGATTTGAGATATTTGAGAACTTGTACTTCGGCAACATAGATTGAAATTTGGCACTTCCATGTGGCCTGCCCTGTCACCAAAACCTTAATATCACTGGTTGTCATGAAATATTGACAGAACTCTTTGATCAAGATGAATATTTTTTCCACTACATCACCAAACTAATAGAAAAAGGCTCCACTGACATACTAAAACACACAATCCATACCACGATGTACTTGTCTATTTTCCAAATAAATTGTTAGGATTAAATTTGGTCATAACAAAATACATTTTTTAAAGTCAATTCTCTATTGAAATGCTTTCGCTACAAAATCACAGGGTAAATCCATGGATTGCCTCCTTTGTTATCTTCAATCCATCAGTTTCAGCCCATGTGTATTAATCGAGTCAACCCCAAATTATACAACGGCATTCAAATAAGGCCAACTTTGCTAATTAGATAGAAGGTTAGGGACTGATCCATTAATGAACACTTACATTGGAACAATCTACTTGGTTGTTTTTTTTTTCTTTTTTTCTTTCATAATTGAACATATTTATCAATATGCTGCATATAATATTGACTCAATTCATGTCCAAGCATATACAAAATTATCGAAAAAGTAATTGATAATTAAAGACTTCTTTTTAAGTTGTGGAGTTGTCTTGGCAAACCATACAAGATAAAATACTAACACAACAAATATAAAAATTTTCACTCGATTAAAATTAGGTTTAATATCATTCTCTCAATTTTAAAGTTGAGGAAATAAATAAATAAATAAATTGAAACAAACTTTTCTAATAATTTTATTTTATTCCAAGATTAAAAAAATTATATATACATATGCAATCATGATATTTTATAATTACCTATGCGAAATGAGTTTAAATAAGTTCAAACTAATGAAATCAAAGTAGAGGCTACTTATTAGTCAATTGACAAAATAAAATGTTCTATTTGGAACTTTTTTCCTAAGTCAAAGATCAGGTAGGATAGTCAAACCATGTACCATATTAATAGATACATACGATTAATAGATAAGTACCCAAACTTCAAAATAATTGAAGTTGACCCATACAAAATCGTAAGAACATAATTAATAAATGAACAAATAAAGGGATAAATGGCTTACTAACTCGATACCTGCAATATACATACATTTACATTATTATTATATTTTTAGTTTTAATTTTTAGTAAATATAAAAAGATACGAGGGTAATTTCAATACAAGAACCATTTTCAATTTTTATATTATATGATTATATGATCAATGCTATTATTTGTATTTAAGAAAACTTAAAGAGGGCCTTCTCTTGTCAATGGCTTTATCACTGCCACTTGTGATGGAAACTTAAAAAACTTCGAATTTGTAATAGATATAATTTGGTATTCAAATTAATAAATTTATACAAACACCTTTTGAAGCATGATAGACAGACTTGGGATATGGCTAAGAAATGCCATAACGAGTAATGATTCCATCAAATCAAGATCATAGGATGGAACTTGGAGGCAGTTTACCATTCCATTAATATGAGTTCAAGAATTTCAGTACAGATAAGAATGGTCAGAGCAATGGATAGAGTTGCCCAAGAAAGCAACTACAATGCCATAAAATCCAAACAAATAGAAGCAGCACTGAGATGCAATCTTTCCCAGGCAAACAGCATTGTGCTTATTGTTAGGTTGAAAAGAAAAGAATCCAAAAATGGAACTGAAAAAGTTTAAGGATAAATATTCTGATAAAATCTGGTTACACAGAATTGAATTCCTTAAACTTAACATGAAAGCTATCGGACACGATATGTTGTTTCTTTTTGTTCTACTCAGTTTACTTTTTGCAACAGCAGTTATTCACTTGGATCAGCAATGGGGTTGGGCAATCTGTATCATTTCCAAATCTATGCAATGATATTTTCAAAACTATAAGTCTAGATGTGCACCAACTTTTGACAGAAGAATACAATGCCATAACAAATCAAGATGATTGAAAATTTATTCACTCTTCCAAGGGGAAATTTTCACTTCGAAATTCAGGGTATATCATTTCCCAAGTTTGATGTTTGTAATCCATGTGCTAAAAGAATGGGCACATTCTAGCTCTAGTACTTGAGGAAACAATTAGTGAAAGTTGTTCCTTTCACACAATTTTAGATAATCACTAAATTTCCCTCTATCTCGAAAATAAATAAATACCTTGTGGTTGACTTTCTCCAATAATGATGCGAAAGGTGCATAATCTATCTGCAACTGAATGATCTACGGGTACCAAACACACATTTGACAAGGAATTATATGTGACTGAATTGATAAAGTACCTCAACAAGTGCCACTAAACTAACATCGCAAGTGACCCAGCAGAAGAGTATTGATCCCAGGAGTTGTTCCAAGTACTGAAAATAAAAACAAAAAATTCAAATATAGATTATATGTCAAACATTCAAGATTAAAGTAGTAGAACTCAAAAATCCACTTGACTTCAGGACAGGGAAAAGGCTGTAAATATCAGAGTGAGTTGAGTATGGAAGAAAAATGGGAGTGCAACCAAGGATCACTTTGATATACTGCCCTTATTAAATTAATTATTGTCCCAAGATAATCTTCTCGGCACTAAAAAAGCAACACTAAAAATCAAATTAAAGGAGAGAACTACTGTCATAACCTTGAATCTAGTTGCGTAGTTGAGCTGCCTTGATAGATTATCGAGTGCCACATGCACCAATTCCCTGAACCAAAAGGTAAAGACATCAAGAAACAAATTATGCTTCGTTGCAAACAACAAAATAAGGTGGAATAATGTACCTATGATCGGGTTCAATGGCAGAAACCACACACATCATGAAAACAGCCTGCACATGTCACATCAATCATCCCTTTAAAATGCAGAGACTTACAAATCCTATTAGGCAAGTGAAGTTTAAACATGTTAGCAATCTCGGCCAGGAGGAAAGATTACCTCCAACTCTATTTTTTCACTATGCAAAGCAGAGATGCATAAGAGTGACAATAACAGTTTCCATTTTTGGCGTGGGCTGAGGACCAGAGGCTAGGACCTCCTTTGCAGTAACAACTTTCCCTTTTAAGGGAATGACCATTGCAACACCAAAGTTTGAACTGAACACAAACAGCTAATGAGTATCATTGAAATTAATACTGTGACAGAAGGGAAGAAAAATATAAAGGTTGATGGTGATTACAAAATTATGTAGCCAAAAAAATTAACAAAAAGAAGAATGTATTGCAAGAGAAAGCAGAATCCACAACATGGAGAATCCGAAATCCATACAAAAGGTGAAGAAAAACTGAGCTAAACTCAAGATAAAAGAGTACTCCAATCCCACTTAAAATTAGTTGGGGAAGCACCCCTAAAGATCCCCAAAACCCAACACCACAAGGATGCAAAAAATGTATCATGCCCTACTACAATTGCCTCAAAGTATCAGTTCTCTCTATCCAAATGCAAAATAACTGCAGAAAAAACACAACACCCAATATCCTACAGATATTCATTCCAAGCTAGTAGTATAGGAACTACTATGCTATATAATAGCAATGGGCAGAAAAAAGGCTAGTCAAGTAAACTTTTTTAACATAAATATCGGCTGCTTCAGAAAATGTTATAAGTTCAAAGGCTAGAAAATGATGGATTCATAAAAATTTCAAATAGATTGCAGTGACTGCAAATAATATGAAGGGCAAAAGATTTAATATATGATCAACTCCCATGCCAATAAAATCCATCACAGAACAATCAAACAAGTCCACAATATCCCATTAGAAGATAAAATTGGACGTTCCTATTGCCTTGATGCATGATTTGACAGTTATAGCAAAGATATTAATATGTAAACATCACTTAGCAATGATGACATGGTCAAAAACGTGAGAGAAATGCTATCCTTCAATTGTTATGAAGAACCAAAAATTTGAGATGCTAATGCAAAGAAAGCAATGGCAATAAGAAGCCTACACATATCTCGAGAAATAAGCATTAAAACAAATATGAAAAAGAATTTTAAATGCTATACTTCTATTCTTCAATTGTTATGAGAAGAACCGATGCTAATGCATAATATGCAATTGCAATAAGAAGTTTGCACATATCTTGAGAAATAAGCGTTACAATAAATATGAAAAAAAAACAAATAAATTGAAAGGAAAAGAAAACTTAATAAATTATCAAGAGGATATAGTAAAATATGAAAAGGAAACCCACCAAATATCCTGGAAGAGCTCGCCATGTCCATCCCAAGTTTGGAATAAAACACCAATTCGCTGAGCCAGTGAAAACCTAACTCGATAGTCAGGATCTTGAAGCAGTAAGAACAGTCTCTCTATCATTGTCTATGAAGATTGCGCCAGAGCAATTACACAACAAAGAATAAAAAGGACATACTTTTTCAATTATTAAAAATATATGAAATACCAAGTAAAACCGTAAGATTTTTAGGATAACAACGATGAAGGCATGGCATGTGTCCATTTCGTAACGCTTTCATATTTAATTACAGCCCACCTAACATCACGTCATGCATATACAATCTCCAACTGAAATGCATTGCTGTCAGTGTCTACCAGTAATCACCTGACCAATTTGAGGACTGAGTAAGACAAAATTGCAAAAGCAATCAATAAGCCTAACACGTCCTGACCAGTCAAGAAGCCCAAATTCTGCTACTTTGTTAACTAGTTCTCCAAGATGTACAAGATTCTGCAATAAAACAATCACATGAACTTCAGTTTCACCATACAATTGACCCCAACCAACATGTGAGACAGCAGGATTCTAGGGATAGAAGTTCAGTAAGATAAACCATACACGCTTTATCAAGATGATCAAAACCAAGTCGTGACAAGGACTTGGATGTTTGGAGCAGAGACATCAACACAAATTAAAGAGGCACCATATGGAAACACACACACACACACATAAGTTGCAGAGTACAACTGTAAGAAAGTATGAATTTTTAGAAAATAGAATGTGCCAAATGCAGACAAAGGATAGGCATGTTTCAAAAAAATGACAGATTAGTACAACCTTAGAATACAGTGGTTGCAAACCCAAACTAGGAAAAATTACATTTCTTCATTCCTCAAGTCCCAATAGTATTATGGTTTAATAGCAAAACAAATAAAACTCAAATGGACGATATTGGTTTAGAGAAAAGTATCCTGTCTCTATGTGGAAAAGAGGAAGACAGGAAGCACAACTTTTTTGGTAAAAGATTGCACCCACTTGGTGAAACAAAAGATGCATCTTCCTCCACCAGCCCCTGTCTCTATAGAAATCAAAATTTCATTTATTTTTGTTTTCCTTAATATGACTTTCCCTCCATCACAAATACAGAACTCCCACATATCACCATTAGTGTGTACAACAATAATGATAAAGACAGAGTGCATAAAAGCATGCATGCATTTGGCAAAACATTAGATGCATCTTCCTGAACCAATCCCACTCACCACATAACTCCAAAAGAACATTTAAAGTTAATAATTAAGACAAGCAAGTTCAATGAAGAATTTTGACCCAACGTTCAGCCCATGAATTGTTTTTACAGAGCAGGACAACCAAAAGAAAGGAAAAAAATGCTGATTTAGTGTAAACTCAACTCCTATAGATCTATAGTTTTCTGTTTTAATATACAGGAAACCAGCTATCATGATTTCTACCGTTCTAATGAAACACAGACTAGCACTGAATTTTGTGAATACCAGTTCAGATTCTCTTTTCAAAGCAGTTGGAGCACCATCCTTTCCAGCAGCACCAAAGGATAATAAGGTAGCTACCAATTGACAGGCAGCAACTACTACCCCAAAACAGTCCAGCTTAACACTTGCTTGCATCTCAAACATGTTATTCATTGTTTTCACCTGCACTTTGGAAAGAAAAGAAAAAATAATAACAAAAAAGTATATAATTATAAATGACTGAAAGAAATATAAAATGCTTCAAGCAAAGCTAGTTACTGCTAACTCTTAATGAGTTTCATCCAGCCATTACCAGGTCTGTAATCTTGGCAGAAGAGGACCAGTGCAAATGTTGACAAAGATGGTAAAGAATATTCTCACGCACCTGAAAGTGTGAATTATAGAAGCAAAATAACAGAACTATGAGTGCAAGAACTACTGAAAACTAATACAACAGCCAGCTTTGTAAAATACCTTATTGTCTCGTTCGTTTTCCATGAGCTCAAACAGGACATCCCACGTAGCAAAATTTAAAACTGAATGAAAGCTTGAAATAAGTGATATCATACCCAACTTCCACTTCACTGAGGAAAAGGATATACCAGTGCCAATTATCCCACCAACAGGTAAAATATCCACATCTTGGGTATCCTCAATCACATCTAACTCCATGTCCACAATTCTAGTGTTGCTACCCGATGGACCAGATATTTGAAACATAGCATCAGATGAAGGTAAATCAGGCTGCGGTGGACTTCTTAAACATTCAGAAAATTGATTGTACAGTTCAGCCAGTGCCTTCAAGAGCCTCTCCATGGATTGTATTATAGCATCATAAAGAACAACATCCAAAGCAGTTTCATCTCTACTTTTGGCATGGATAAGAGAGCATAAAAAGCTTCTAAATGAAGCTATAAGAGTGGTTTTTAAGTTATAGTCAGAGATAGAGCCTGAGCAACCAAGAGCTTGAAGGTCATTGCTGTTTTCGTGAATTGCATTAACAGCACAATCCAGCAATTCCAACAAGTATTGGCTCATTTTTGAAAGAAATGGTGAAGCCTCTTCTCCTTTCCTGAAGGAGTATAGAATATGTAGGTTATATATTTAAGGAACAAAAAGAAAAAGAGTGAAAGCAAATGTCAGTGACAATTAAGGGCATGCTTAAAGATAAAAATAAGGAATCTTCAGTTGTACAGTTCAAAAAAATAATCTGAAAGATACAATCGAACAAGCAGTTCCCTCAACCCAATTAGAATGCATGTTAGGTACAGAAATTTTTCACAGTAAAAGAAAAATCATTGTACATTTATTCAAAATAAAACAAGGGGGAAAAGGAATGATCAAACACAGAATCTAAACTGCCATGTAACGGACATGACATATTGAAACTAAATAAGTATATTTGTCAAAATAACCAATGAAGATTGAGAATGCATCATCTATGCAGAATATTATTGACAAAAACAGTCAAGAAGTATAGCCAGAGATTGCAACTGGGGAAAATTCAGAGTACAATACAAACTAGTCCAGCAGAAAAGCACAATGCCATTTTAGCAATTAAAGTCAACCATTTTAATAAAGTAAAATTTGCTTAGATTAATTCAATTCACCTTTTAATTTTCAGAAATAAAATATACTCATTGTTGAACTAGCTAAATCCATCACCGGATGGGAAAAAATATCAAAATAATTCCCAACTAACAAAGAAAACAAGTAACAAACGGGGTTTTCCACACGTCAAGTCGAGTTAAACAGAAACACGGACCTTGTTAATAATGAGCCATTTATAAAATTAGATAACAGAGAGCATATAAGGAAGACATCAGATAGAGGCCACTTTTCCGTTTCCTTGTCTGCTACAGGTCCAGGAATATAGCCCTCCATCTCATGAAGCAGCAGATCTCTAAATTGTCGAGGGAGACAGACACTTTGATAGCATCGGGAGGAAGAAACCTAAATGTGATCAAAATGGAAAATTAAAAAAGAGAAGGAAAAAAAAAGCAGAATGCAAGGAAAAGAACTGGAAAACATTCCATCACCTCAACTGTAGGAACCAAATGAATTTTTGTAAGAACTTCAACAGAACATTCAAAAAGCTCACAAAGCCTTTCCTGTTCATGTTCATCTGTCTGCAGAGATAAATCAGATACTGATCTCTCAGTGTCCAAGGAACCAACTTGTGTAAATTATGTCCAAAAAGTCAAATAGCATTCAGGGAAGATGAACAGAAAAAAACTACCTTAACCTGATCATCTGTAGGCTCAAAGCTATCTACAAGAATGTTTGATGGGGAAAACCCCCTGTAAGAATGTGTGAAAGGAGCACAACCAGCACACAGAGCATAGACAGCTGCTGGTAACAAGATCACAACATGCTCATTCAATATGGAAGACTCCTACAAAAGAAGTTAACTTTTCTAAGAAATCATACCATAGCAGTCAAGCAAACATGAAACTTCAAATAAATATTCCATCATGAACCATAAAAGAGACTCAAGTTGCACGAAAATTAGAATAGGTTTAAATAGTTATGATAACCCTGTGAATACTCCGTTTATTGCAGCACGAAACATCAACTCCCATTGAGTTATAAGAAAAATATCTAAATGGTGCATTAACTTCCAAATAACTGTCTAGTGGAAGTAGTATCCAAGTTCTAAAGTTTAAGCAATTCCTCTTCTTTTTATTTTAATTTAAGAAGAAAAAAAATACTGAGAGAAATATCCAACATGTGCCTCAATAAAGCCATTGCAGATTGTTATAAAACTATCATTGGGGCCTCACTCAATAGCTTAAGCTTTTGGGTTGAGTGGGCCTTTGAGTTGGTGTTAGGTGTTAGAAATTTCAATTCTACCACCTTCATTCCCTCTTCTATTTGAAATTTAATAAATTTGAAAACAAAGTAGTAGGCCATTATAAGTTTCAAACCAAAGGGCTTTTAAGTGAGGGTATGTTAGAGAATATAATGTAAACCATTCTTGGGGCCTCTAGTAACAGCTATCCTTTGACAACAACATAAACAACCAACGAAAATTCTTTTACACCTTGACTCAGGTCCAGGGCCCAAAAGAACCGTTGAAATAGAATAAACCAAATCAAATCCCAAAGTGGAGTGAACCTGGCATGTGGAGAAACAACTAAATCTGACAAAGTAGCAATGGAATTCTGTACTGTTTTCAAGCATGCAAGCCAAAAGCTTAGAATATTCAAGGTAAACCTGGACCATAATCCACATTATTAAGTATAAACTTAACACAAGTTAATTACCTAGGATACTTAAAACAAGTTAATTACTTATGATTTAACTTCAATGATTACAAAGTGCTTCAGTGGTGACAAAATTCTAGTGAGGCACCTCAAGAAACTAGGAAACTATTTCCACAGCATGTTCTAGAAGTATGATAGGGACTTTTAACAGATATTGGTTGTGCTTGCGGAGAAATCCAACAAAATGAATCACCTAAACTAAACCAAACAAAGACATAACATAAATGCATAATAACCTTCAGCACAAGTAATATGTGGATATATGAGCAAGGGAACAGCTTATGAGACAGATTATAAGCTTAAAGCATGGTTCCTCACTTTAATGAAGCAGATTTCAGATCCATGACTTGTCCTCCAATGGATAAAAATTTCCTAAATTATTATCACCTTTATCACCTCAAGGAGGAAAAAGGAAGCAGATAACTGGTGGTCACTAACACTACAATATTCACATGTCATGATATTGAAAGCCCATCTTCACAAATAAGATTCTGTGATTAATTTTAAACGAATATAAACTCAAAAAAATAGAAAACACAGAACAAAAGTGTTAGAATAAATGACAATATTGCAGTCACACATGAGAGTTATACAAGAAATGGACCTTCAAGTTGAAGTGGCCTAAAATTGCTCTTAACAGATTCTTCCGGAGATGTAAAGAGTCTCGAAGGTCACCCTGCAGACATAATGGTTCAACATGTTACACAATATCATGTTAGACAAAGTATCATCAACCACAATGGAAAATAAATCCTCATTCAAAGTTCCATGGACTAAAATAGAACCACAAAAAAGGAGATTGACTTCAGGTAGATGCTGCTGTAAATCTGGTCCTATTTGCTTGGCAAAGAATGTGCACCCAATCAACTAGAGTATTTTATTGCAAAATCCCTGTGTTTTAACTCCTGCAACAAAGGGCAGGCGGGAAACAACGGGAGGCATTGGGATCAAATCTTACCATCTTGTTTATTCAACCATGAAATCATTCAAGCCCAACCACTAAGTCCAGCAACTCATGTTTGACAAGCTGAGGCTAGGAAGAGCTTAATATTCATTCAATGAGATACTTAGTGAGGCAATGTTACATGCATCAACAACATCTCTCTCAAAATAACAAACAGGGTAAGTGATACTGATAAACGCATTTTAAAACAATCAAAGAATAAGAGAACAAGACAGCAAAAGAGCAGGAAAAAATTGGGTGAGATACTATGCCAACAACAACCACATAAACACCGAAATGAGATGATGTTGATGAAGTGGGGGAAAAAAAAAAGGAAAGCATCCCAGCCTAAGCAACTTACTTGAGAACCCTTATGAGAAAAATAGCACGCAATGAAGTACAAAACAGACCTGTATTGGCAAGATAACAAAACAATCAGATAAGATATCTTAACAACAATAACATGAGCAAAATGGCCATGTAATATTCTGATAAAAGATCAGCCTTTATTAAAAGAGATAATTTTTTTCCTTCATGAAGAGCAATTATCTGTACACCTAGTGCAGTGTTCCCTGTAATATTTATGCAGATCCTATCTGCACAGAGGTTTGACTAGCTTTGTTGACCTTTAGAAGAAAAAACCATAATAACCATCTTTGCATTCACATATAGTTAAAAATAAAGATACACTTACACTGATGGTGTCTGCTTAAATAACTTAAGGTCCCACACATCCAGAGGCACAGCGCAAGTGCTAATCAGATCCTGAAGGAAGAAATTAGGACAGGGAAAAAAATTAGAAAGATAAATGTGGGAGAAAAATTTACTCCACTAGAATCGTGATAGTCTAGAATCCCCTAGCTAGTAAATAAGGTCATTTATAAACAGAGTAATAAACATAGTCTAAAATGATAGATTACTCACACTTGATATGATGCTTCCAAGTAACATTAAAGCTGCATCAACCTGCATCAGTTCATACAAATGACCATGAAAAACATTTTTTTTTTTTTTGGGGGTGTGTGGGTGGGTGGGTAGGGTGGGGTTAGCTTCTCGATTAATAGGCAGCAATATTATTTAGGAAACTATCAAGTTTCCTCTATGTTGTTCAGTGTTATTATATTATGAGCACCACCTTCCCAATCCCCCACATTCCCCACCCCTCTGTTTCCTCTCCACTACACTTCTGCAGTCATCACCATAAGCACTGCACCAATGCATACAGTGGAAGATAAAGGGTGCTCTTGTGCCCCTATAACCGCAATTGCTTCTTCTTCTTTTATTATTATTATTATTATTATATATCTACAGGTAGGAGGGTATCCTTGGCCCAGCTTTCACGTCAACCGAGACTAAATCTGCCACTTCCTGGGCTAGATCAGTGTTGAATCACGCCTAGCCTTTGGTTGATTCTGAGGGCCGAACACTTTAAGCCACCAGCAGCCCCATGTCTAGTGCCACACAAAAGAGAGTGAGGAGCTTTCCAAGGGTGATAATCGAACCCCTAACCTGGTGAGTGGGAGATACTCTTCTTAGCACTCCACCTACAACCTTTGGTGGTCACAATTGCTTCTTTTACTACACAAATATCCATATTGTAATAAAAGTGCCAACGCTTATTTATAGTTGTTGAAAATAATGATCTTGACAACAAACACAATTTAAGAAGAAAATGACATTTAGTTGGGGAAAAAACCATCAAATTCCATCAGTTTCAGATCCTATGTTTTGACAAAATGGATTGTGAAAATTTCTTCTCCACTCCATTTTGGAAGCCAAACTACAGCTATCCGGTATGTGAGAACACAGACAAAACAAAGTTACAGAGCAACTTATAATAAAAAATAAAAAATATGCACTGAAACTTACAACAGAATTTAGATTACTGAATGTCGGCAGCCCACGAATAAGACCACTCCATATCAATTCCCAGCCAGAGTCCAACTGCATTATGGACCAATGAACAACTCAATGGTGGCTTAAATAGAAGAAGTGAAACTCACACATAAAAACATGTAAACAGCATTGCAGAAAGACATAATTGTTCAGTGATGGCATTTCATTACAATGGTTAGATGAACAAAGAAAAGCTGCATTTCAAATCTCAGGCATGGTAGAATAGCAATACTAACATGAAAAAAAAGACAGGACCAAATAATTCTCAAAACTCAATGAGAGACTTTTGAACCATTGTGCAGTTCTCAAATCAACGCGCAAAGGTCAAAACAAAATCTTAGCATCTCCTAAAATGGCATATCAATGGCTTTGTACTGTTGGATGGAGATGACAAATTATCCACTACAAGACTAACTTTTAGCAGTTTTTACCTCATCCAATTACAGCATGAAAACCAAAATCTTATACCAACCATGGATGCCAAGCACACATTTCCCTAGTCAAACTAAGAAAGTTTCTTCAGAAGTGAAAGAGTGGGTGTAAATGAGAACAGGAAGAATGAGAGATGCTCCAAACAGAAAAACAGAACCAAAAGAATTGAGAGAAAAGGTATTCAATCACATTAAATATCAACCAAGATAACATGCCTAAAAACCACTTAAGCAGCAACTCATATGGAGCCAAAAAGTAACCATGCCCACAAAAGTTGTTCCAATGTAGAGCAGCCCCAAAGATTCTATTACAACAGCAAAGAATGCACAGCTCAAATATCTCATGATCCTACACAGGCCACCATCAAAACCCCAACGTGCATCTTAATGATGTTTATAATGTATCTGTTGTGCTTTTAGGTAAGATTGTCAAGAAATGGTAAGTTCCATATTTCATATTCCATGCAGAAATTTAACATCCATGAACAACAGAAGCAGAGCTTAAATTCAGCTCTGGTGCAAACAGGATTAATGGAATGGTGACTAATGTGCCATGACGACAGAGTGATCCCAATCAATGTCAAGTAAAGCTGTCAAGATGTGGTCAACGTAACTGTCAAGTTATTTATTGCTGTAAATATATACTTTCCTAGAATAGGATCTGCTGTGATATGGGGACATAATTGGGGAGTTGATTGCTGTAAATATATACTTTCCTAGAATAGGATCTGCTGTGATATGGGGACATAATTGAGGAGTTGATTGCTGTAATTAAGGGATACAATACCTTGTACAAATTACTATATAAAGGGAAGAAAAGCTCAGAGGAAGGGGAGAGATTTTTTCCACAGAAATCTTGTTTTATTATTCTTGATTTGTTATGGTATCAGAGCCCTTAGGGGTTTCTTGTTTCTTGAATTCTTTGTGAATTTTTTCTGGTTGCTTCAGGTTCTTGGTTCATCGATTGTGAGACATTTTTCTTGGTACTTCTTTTTTGACATTGTTATTCATGGAAAAATCAAAAGTAGCTTGTATCAGATTTTCAGGCAAGAATTATTTTTCCTGGGAATTTTAGTTTCAGATTTATGTTCAAGGTAAAGAATTATGGGGGATTGTTGATGGCACGAACAGTAAACCTACTGATCCGATCAAGGCCGCTGAGTGGACAGCCAAGGATGCTCGTGTCAAGAGCTGGTTGCTGCAAACCATGGATCCTTCAATTGTTGTCAATTTAAGACCATATAAGACAGCTAAAGCCATGTGGGATTATCTCAAGAAAGTGTGTGATCAGAATAGCTCAGCAAGGAGGTTTCAACTGGAATATGAGGTGTCCACTTACACACAAGGAAACTTGTCTATTCAAGAGTATTATACAGGTTTTGTGACATTATGGACTGAATATGCCAACATTGTTTATGCATCGGTCCCGGGTACGTCTTTGAAAGTTGTCAGAACTCTTCATCAGACCAGTCAAAGAGATCAATTCCTGATGAAGCTCAGACCTGAATTTGAAGTGGTGAGATCAAATTTATTACTCAGAACTCCTTCTCCATCTTTAGATGATTGTTTGAATGAACTTCTTCGTGAAGAGCAGCGTCACATGACACAAGCTACATTAGAGCAACAAGGAAACTCCACCAACGTTCTGAATGTTGCATATGCTGCACAAGGCAAACCTCGGGTCCGAAATATAAACAATACTCAATGTTTCAGTTGTAAAGAATTTGGACACATAGCAAGTTAATGTTCCCAAAAGTTTTGCAACTATTGCAAAGGTAAAGAACACATTATTTCTGAATGTAAGAAGCGTCCACAAAATCGCAATTTTCGTGCTTTTCATGCATCAACTACAAATGCAGCGACTGAAACCACTTCAGAATTTGTTTCTTCTCAACAACCAATTCCACCTCTGACACAAGAGAATGTGCAGCAGATGATTGTCTCAGCTCTTTCTGCTTTCGACCTTACTGGTAAAAACAAATCTTTACCTAAATTTTGGCTCTCTGACTCGGCTACTTCAAATCATATAACTCCATCATCTAATAATCTTCTAAATGTCAAAAAATATGATGGCAACTTGAAAATTGAGACTGCTAATGGGAATCAAATTCCTATTGCTGCTACGGGTGATATTTCTACCACTCCATCATTGATGAATGTCTTTGCTACTCCTGATTTGTCTGCTAATCTACTTTCTGTTGGACAAAAATGGTAGAGAATAATTGCAAAGTTACTTTTTCTTCTTCTGGTTGTGTTGTGCAGGAGCTGGTGTCAGGGAAGACAGTAGCTAAAGGACCTAAATGTGGCCGACTTTTTCCTCTCCAACTAGATGAACCAGCCAACTTTTTGAATGTGCTTCGTTTCTTTCTTGTTCTGTCCAACCTGAACTTAAATCATGGCATGTGAAGTTAGGCCATCCAAATGATAGAACTCTTTCATTTTTGTTAAAATCTGGTGCGTTGGGAAAAAAAGTCCCATTTAAAGATGTCAATTTTGATTGTTCTAGCTGCAAGTTGGGTAAAAGCAAAACTCTACCATTTCCTTCTCGAGATACACGTCTCTCATTGTTTTGATTTAATCCATAGTGATGTTTGGGGGATTTCACCTGTTATTTCTCATTCTCAACATAAATACTTTGTGACGTTCATCGATGATTTTAGTCGATTTACTTGGATATGTTTTTTGCGAAGTAAATCTTAAGTTTTTGATGCTTTTCAAAAATTCCTAGCCATGATTGAAAATCAGTTTTCCAAAAGTCAAAATTCTTCGATCTGACTCCGGTGGGGAATACATATCTCAAAAATTTCAAGAGTTCCTTCAACAAAAAGACATTATTTCTCAAAAGAGTTGTCCTTATACACCTCAGCAAAATGGTGTTGCTGAACGAAAAAACCGACATCTTCTTGATATGATTCGTTCACTACTCATTGAGTCTTGTGTTCCACCAAAATTTTGGGTTAAAGCTATATCTATTGTTGTCCATCTAATAAATCGTCTTCCTTCACCTACACTTAAAAATCAAACACCATACTTTCTTCTCCATCAACAACCTACCTATAATCATCTTCACACCTTTGGTTGTGTTTGCTTTGTGCATTTGCCTCCTCATGAACGCTCCAAGTTGTGCCCTCAATCTGTCGAATGTGCCTTTCTTGGATACGCACTATCTCAAAAAGGCTATATGTGTTTTGATCCCATCACCAAACGAATACGTGTTTCTCATAATGTTGTCTTTTTTTACCAACAATATTTTTGCCCTTCATCTGATGACAATTCCAGTGTCTCCACTTATTCTTTTCTTCCTGCCTTTGCAGATCAGTCCCCTGTTTTTCATCAAAACTCACTTGCTCCTATCACTCGTTTTCAGCCCGGTCTTGTTTACACACGTAGAAGTAGAGATGAGGTCTATGTTGATGATTCTACTCTTATACCAGTTCCTGAAACAGGTTCGCTACTGTCATCTCTTGTGTCTTCTTTGCCACCAACTCCTGCCATTGACCCACCACCACTAAGACGGTCATCTCACAACTCACATCCTCCGAACAGGTATGGTTATTCTTCTAAGAGAGTTAATAATCATAAATCCATGGTTGCTACTCTGTCTTCTATTGCCATACCAAGTTCCTACTCTGAAGCTATAAAACATGAATGTTAGCGACAAGCTATTCAGGAGGAGCTTGATCCGTTGCAGCAAAATAAAACTTGGAACATTGTTACTTGTTCGTCTGATGTTACTCCTATTGGCTGTAAATGGGTCTTTTCAATCAAACTTAAATCTGATGAGTCTCTTGACCGATGTAAGGCTCGTTTGGTGGCTCTTGGAAATCGACAACAATATGGGATTGATTATGAAGAAACATTTGCTCCCGTGGCCAAAATGACTATAGTTCGTACAATTTTGACCTTAGCAGCTTCTCAAGACTGGTCTATACATCATATGGATGTTAAAAATGCGTTTCTTCATGGGGATCTTAAAGAAGATATCTAAATGCGTTCTCCACCTGGTCTAAAGGTTGCTGCCACAGAGGTATGTGACTTGAACCGCTCTTTATACAGGCTTAAACAAGCTCCCGGTGCTTGGTTTGCCAAATTCAAACAAACTCTTCTTGATCTGTACTTTGTGCAAAGTCAGTACGATCCTTCACTTTTTTTATGCAAGACTTCGAATGGGCTTGTTCTCTTACTTGTATATGTGGATGATATTCTAATTACTGGTACTAATATTGACCAAATTGGGCAACTAAAAACTTCTCTACATACTTCTTTTCACATGAAAGATCTTGGCCCTTTGGCCTATTTTTTGGGGCTGGAAATTCATAGAAGCAACAAAGGAATCTTTGTGAATCAGCACAAGTATCTCAATGATATCATTCATTTAGCTGAATTATAGAATACAACTTCCGTTGATACTCCCATGGAATTAAATGTCAAGTATCGCAAAGATGAAGGTGAGCTTTTAAAAGATCCAACATATCGACGTCTTGTGGGAAGTCTAGTTTACTTGACTATCACTAGACCGGACATATCCTTTGCTGTTAACTTGCTGAGTCAGTTTATGGCTTCTCCGAGGCATTTACATATGGCAGTTGTAAAGCGAATTATTCGCTATCTTCATGGGACTTCTAATCGTGGTCTATTTTTTCTAGCTGGTTCTTCTCTAAATTTGGCTGCTTACAGTGACGCTGATTGGGCAGACTATCCCGATACGCGCCACTCTACAACAGGTTGGTGTGTATACTTGGGTGATGCTTTAATTTCCTGGAAATGCAAGAAACAAGAACGAGTCTCCAAATCGTCGACTGAGGCAGAATATCGTGCCATGTCTGCCACATGTTCGGAAGTTACTTGGTTACGTGGTTTGCTCTCTGAATTGGGTTACCACCAATCTACTCCTACTCCTCTTCATGCTGACAATACAAGTGCTATTCAGATTGTAGCAAATCCGGTGTATCATGAGCGTACAAAGCATATCGACGTCGATTGTCATTCAATCCGAGAATCCTTTGACAATGGTTCAATTACTCTTCCTCATGTTTCTACACATCAACAGATTGCTGATATACTTACCAAGCCCCTACCTTCAGCTCGACATCAGTTCTTCGTTAACAAATTGATGTTGGTTGATTCGCCGACATCAATTTGAGGGGGGTGTCAAGTAAAGCTGTCAAGATGTGGTCAACGTAACTGTCAAGTTATTTATTGCTGTAAATATATACTTTCCTAGAATAGGATCTGTTGTGATATGGGGACATAATTGGGGAGTTGATTGCTATAAATATATACTTTCCTAGAATAGGATCTGCTGTGATATGGGTACATAATTGGGGAGTTGATTGCTGTAATTAAGGGATACAATACCTTGTACAAATTACTATATAAAGGGAAGAAAAGCTCAGAGGAAGGGGAGAGATTTTTTCCACAGAAATCTTGTTTTGTTATTCTTTATTTGTTAATCAATTGGTATGATTATCCAGATTCAGCTGGTCCTATGGACAATGAAATACAGCCTTTTACAGACATTAAAGGTTACTTTTTAACTAGTGAAAAGTGAAATAATACAGTATCATAATACAAATACAGCACAAAGATATGCATAACCTAAAAATAAAGAGATTAAAAAGGTGGAGAAACAAATACCTCTTTGGAGGGGAAGAGGGCCTTGATACAATTTCCGATTGGGAATCTGAAATCAGCAAAAAACTCGAGAGTTCCTGCAAACTCCTTTGAATGCCAATAGATACACGCATGAGCACAAAGAGAAAAAAGAAGAGATAGTGTAAAAAATCTAAACAATCTTCAGATAAATGAATAAAACAATACTGACATGGAAATATGCAATGGGATAAAATCATAAAGCCCGTGATCCTTCATTACAGGGGCAGAATTTTCCCATAATTTCAAATACCACAGTACATTATGCAGTTAAACCAAAGTGATACATGAATAGGGAAGCAGAGAAATATACCGCAAAGTCCACAGCAAGCCATCATAAGCAAGCCCCATGTTTGCATCATTTAAAATTCTACACCATATTCCAAATCAACAATTCAGCAATTGCAAAGACTTTAACTCCCAAAACTTTATACCAACAGTAATGGCAAGTCATGAACAAAAACTGACATCACAATTGCACATAGGGATATCTACTACTAGTTAAAGTGGCACATTCAACACACATGATATCTACCTTTTCATCACAAAAAATAATTATTTTAGTACTCGTCATTAAAACTATAAAACCAATGCATTGCAAATTTCCATTTAATTTTCTTTTTAGTCATTTATATTTGTTTCAATTATATTTGTTTCAAGTTGAAAATAAAATTTTATATCACCATAGAGATACTAGTTCTATAATTTCTGAATTTTACATTTAAAGAAATCATATATCTATTTGGGTTGGTGTTGAATAAGGAAGCTAAAAAGTAGAAAAAATATTTTTATCATAGTATAGATAGATTTTAACTCCACCTGGCCAGCTTAGCTTAGTATAGCCATTCCCGAGCCCAAAGAAAAGGAGGATTGTGTGGGTTGACAGACATGGTAAGAATTTTTCACATCTTATGTATCATTCCTTTTGCAAGAGGATCTATAAAGCTGAAACCAACTAGTTTGGGATTAATGTTTTGTTGTTGTATAGTATAGATAGATTTTGTATATTTTAGAGCATTAAGTTAATGATGTTTACATATTTATCAGTATTTTTGCTGAAATAAGAAAGCAAAAAGTGGATAATGATAGAACATGACTCATTGTGTACTTTCTTTTAATTAGTAAAGGCTACATTAACATTAGAATAAAATACTAGGATTATTTTAACATCGGCAGATGTTTCAACAGTTTGCGCTTTTACGCACAGTATAGATTAGTTACCATTCAAGAGTCAGAGGACAACAAAAATATTGAAAATATCTAATCAAAAAACTATGCTGAAACATGCATGCACCTCAATTAGTTGATAAATACATATAACTATGGAACTTCTATACCATAGGTAAATTGATCAATATACATGACGCATTCTCAATCTAAGATCAAGATCACAACAAGGAATTCATATAGATGGTTTATACATAATAAAATACACACACACACACACACACACACACACACACACATACACAAAATCTGAATAAATAACTATAGATGAATGTACATTCATTCACACTGATCATTTTTAATAATGCACGCAACTTAATCATTAACCAGTTAGATGAGTAAAATTTGTCCTAGGCTGTTAATCATGGTCAAGCGTCATAGAGATACATATGGTCCTCAGTTTTGTTATGGTAAATTTGCCACTTGCTGTTTTGTGCTGTGAAAACCTCCTCTCTGTTTTCTCTTCACAAGTGCTAAAATGGATTACCATCTTCATTTTCTCTTTTTCCTTTTTTTTCTTTTCTTTTTTTTTTTTTTTTCCGGTGGTTGGGGGCAGGGGGTGTTGCTCATCAGGTAAGCATTCACAGCTTTTAGCCTTCACATTCAATCACAAAAGGCTTGGTTTACTGCCAATAACTGCTGCTGAAACATTGGTTAGTTGCCTATTGCAGCAGCTTTTTAGATACAAACTTTTTTGCAGCTAAATTTACTGTAAATGAAACCAAGATTGAAAACCCATGGAGTGGCAACCAACACGTCACTGTCAATTGCCAAACAAATTTGTTACTAATAATGCAAGCAAGTTTTCCGCCGAATATCATTCTTTTGGAATGACACAGATTATCATGTGTTGATATAACAATAGTTTGAATGGTCTTCTTCGTCTGTTGCAAATCCTGCTAGGAAGTTGATGAATCTTCCATTCTTAGTTGCTACTTTTCACCTTTAGTACATTCAATTTTCTACTAGAACTTGGTTCATCATAGCTACCACAATGATGATCTCATCCCTTGCTCTTTATTGGACCAACAATCACCTTGGAAAACAAATGGGTAAGCTTGGCTCATTGATATTATTTGATTTTGAACACTGGTTTATTAATTAGTGAACAAAGACAGGATGGCTTTACTGGTTAAGAAGGGGTGTGAGGGCGAAGATGCGTAAATAGGTTAAGAAGAGGAGAGGGTTTAAAAGAGAAGCACACGAGAAGAGGTGGTCAGAAAAATTTGAGGACAATGTGCATATCACATTTCTAACCAATAATTATTAATTGACAGGTCAGATTCACATTAAGAAATATCAGATTTTAGGCTTAAAGATGGTGTGGCTTGGCCGAATTTAACATCGAGGGATCTAATGGAGACAACCTTGAAAACATGAGACAGAGTGATCAGTTTTCCCTGATACTCGAGATATAAAATGAAACTTTGAATAATAACCATACGCATAAATTTTTACAGGACCAACTTATATATAAATTACAAGAAAGTAATACAACATATCAGGTGATCTATATAAGAAAAATGGTGTACTCAAGAATTCCTAAATTCTAATGTATGCAGCAGTTTCAATCAATGCATGGATGTTGTGCAAGTAGAATGAAAAATAGAAGACTCGTGACACCAAGCTATCACAAAAAAATTTAAAGAAAAAAAAGAAGTTACACCAGAACATAACAATTACCTCTCAAAGCTTGTGGAAATGCCTTCAAACCAGTATATGAAAAGATCCTTGCTCATGCGATTGTAGTAGTTACGAATGAGACAACAAAATACAGTATTCCTGAAGCATGGGAAGTTCGTAGCATTATGAAGGAATGACAAAGGAGTTAAATGAGAGAAAATTTTGAGAAAGAAAAAAAATAAGGGAAGCTTTGACAATAATAGCACAAGATATATCCCAATCAACTTCATCAATTGTGAAAAATCAACCAGATATCATTTTCCGATGCATGGCAATAATTATATTATCTAAAATGCATGCATTGAGCAAAGTATAACATCTAATTCGACAATTGAAGTATGCCATTGGCTACAAAACATATCAAGAACACAAACAGGTGGTTAGTCCATATTGTTAATACCACTGCCATTTGTTTATGTTATATTGAAATGTACATTATGTTGATGCAGAAGCCTCCCTTTCAAATAAAATATATGGCACGTTGACTTGCAAATAAGAGATAATAAAGACAACAAGATTGTCATTCCATAAAAATAGGAACTTAACAAACTCAATGCAACACTCGTGCTATTCAGAAAATAAGTTCAATGATCATATACCAATGTAAGGCATCACATGGAAGATATTTTCTGTTTGGCAGATATTTGAAGCACAGAACTGTCCCAACCTCACCCTTTTTAGGTCTTACCCATCATTAGTCCCTCTACAATTCAAATTGTTTGATAGAGTCCCTCTACTGTTTTTTAGTTTAGGTGAGTCCAGTAATATGATCTGTCTGACGAAGTTGACAGTTAGTCAACAAAAGTGATCTAATAAAATTTAAAATGTGTCAATTTATAATTAAAAATATAAAAATAATCTTTATTTAAATCAAAGGAAAAAAAAGGTCAAATGTTCTTAATTTGTGAAATAAAGAAATTAAATACACACACACACACACACTCTAGTTTTTTTACCTACTCTATGTTGCAGATCGGATAAAACACATAAAATTATTTTTAAAAAATTATTTTAGTTTGATTTTTCGTATTATATTGTGCATATACCAAAATATATCAAATCAAAATTGAATAAAAATTCATTCAATTTTATAATTTTTTTAATCAAAATTTTGTATTTAATTGATTATTCTTTATATATTTCATAAATTTTCGATTAAAAAACATTATTTATTTATCCGTATTCACAAACTAAAAAATTTATAATAGTATAAAAAATGTTAAAATTAATAGATTCTTAGCTAAAAACTTATTTTGTAAATTGTTTTTTCTAAACATGTTTTTTACCTTAAAATTTTTAATTAAAAAAAGGACCAAAGTGACCAAAATTAAACAAAAAAGATAACCAAAACGATACAAAAAAATATTTACGGACTAAAAAAAACAATATTTAAAAAAACGACTAAAGTGTAATGTCATGAAAACTTTCATAATAAATGTCTTTTAAAATTTTTGAAAATTACAAAAATGTCACTCGTATAATGAAAAGAATAGTGCATCTAAGTCTTGGTGAATAGTGCAAATGAGTCTAGGTGAACGAGTGTTTCAAATAATGCAATGAATAGTAACCGATCGTTTTATTTTAAATTTTTTGTTATATATATATATAAGTGAATACATCCCAAAATCACAATTAGTATGCTTTATAATCAAAGCAGCAAAAACGAAGCCTAGTTGAAGTTGCTCAAATGCTGAATCTTTCTTAAGACTAAAGTTTCTACCTCAATGAAATTAGATCTAAACCAAACCATCTAGTCACGCTACTAGCCTCCTTCCGCCTCCACCTGGCACCTCTCTCTCCACCACCACTCAACATCACCCACTACCCTCCACCCCCCTCCACCCGCCACCAAAAACAGATTAAAAAGATCTAATCTTTGTTACAAACTCCACTCCCTTTAACCCGACCTAACAAAACAATGAGACCCCAAAACCAAAAGATGAGCCTTCAAACCCCCCCCCCCAAAGACAGAAGAAAAAAAATACTTGAATTTCAAAGAAACAATAGTTCACTTGGTTGTAAAAGATGGTCGGAACTTTCTAATTTAATTTTAAAATTATTTTTTACTACTAGTGTATTTTTATTTAGAAAAGAACACAAGTCAATCATTTATTGAATCAATTTTATTGGCTGGTAATCAACTCAAATAGAGGAACCACATTATGGAAATTGAATAAAATATAGGGATATCAAACCCAAAAACAGTAGCGGGACTAAAACAATTCAAGAATACAGGGACAAATGATGCAATAATGGAAGATATAAAAGTTATAATTTACAGGAACCGAACAATTATAAGTTAAATTCATGTTAAACACCTAAAAAAAAGCAGCAGTTCAGACAGTATTTGCAGGTCGAGACTAACCATAACGATTTTCCTTTCATAAGTGCCTCCTTTAAAAGGGCTGCTGCAGGCTCCCTCTTGACCCGCTTTTCGGTTGATGGTGTTTTAGCTGTACTAACACATGCCTAAGAAAGTCTCAATTCCATCAGTGACCTTGGTTTATCTCCAGCACATAGCAGGGAAAAAATATATGAGACAATAATCAAAATTCCAAAACTCTACTTCTCCAATACTCATGCAAAAAGAACACAAATAGATATCATCGACAGAAATTTTAAGCTGTTTAACTAAACAAGCAATCAAACAATCAAAATCAAATCATAATTCCTGCCACATAACCACAGAATTTTCCTAGATTGGAAACTGTCGAGCATCCAACTTATCAGTTTGAATAACGTGCAGCATGCATTATTTTGTGATGCTAGAAACAATTATCAGATTTTCATATCAAATGAAGAATCCTACACCACAGAGTGCAGCATGCAGATCACTTCAAACAAGAAACATCAAGTGCTTGCATCTTGAGTGAAATAACTACCTTATAAAATACTAGGGCTGCAAGTTCCACCAAACCACGTTGTGAACCAGTCAAAGCTCCAAACTTGTAATCCTTGGTTGCATCCGACCTGCAAACATCATCTAAGACAATCCGTTATAACCAAACCAGTTAACTCCATAAAGAACAAGCCATTGACAAAAGGTTGACTAATGGAAATTCTTAGGCAATTACCTAGGTGCACTTCCACAAGATAAACTGCTTTGATCTAGTTCCTTACATACCAGATCCAAAAGTTGTTGTACCAAAGAACTTCCATCAGTAGCACCTCTTAAAAGATTTAGCTGCAGCCTTGCATAGAATATAAGTGCATCCTGTGAAAGAAAGCACAAAGATATGCATGTAGGAGATTTTGAAGATCCAGAAAAAAATAGCATACACTGCAAGATCATGGTTGATGTATAAACCTTAAGGCCACGGTCATGGGTAGCAAGCCAACAACGGAATACGAATTGTTGCACAGCATTATGAATCTCCAAAGGCTGGGAGCCCAAATTTGGACCATCCTTTAACAAGTATGTATTTATACACTCAATAAGTTTGCGTGAAACCTTTCCCTCCTCCCTAAACATATTAGAACACAAAGAGAAAACTTGAAATAGATTATGGCCAGCAACTACTGTAACAAATAAATCGTATGAACGAGTACATCCAAGGACTAAAACATAAAAAATAAACCAACATCCGAGCATGGATCGATTGTTGATGTACCTTACAAAGGAGAAAATCTGAACAAACCCCTTAACAATGTCCTCCTGAACATCAACAGGGAAATCTCCAGGAGGATTTTCCAAAAGTGAATGGAGTGTGAGTATGCAGCGAAAGACCTCCTCTTTTGGATTACATTGACTGCTACTATTCGCATCTAAGCTTGCAACCACCTTCTCTATATATAGCAGCACCAGGCCTTTTTCAAAATCAAGTGAGCTAAATTAGAAAATACCAAGCAACTAAACATCATTTAGCAATTAGGCACGAATAAGTGTAGGGTCTAAACAATGCAGAGAACTCACTGCAATAAATCCGATTCCTCAAGTGAAAACGATAATCTCTAACTGCCAATAGATGCCGAAGTATAATCCCATATTCTGACTGAAAGCTTGGAACATTGCTCAAGACATCCGATATGTGATTAAAGAGTGTTTTAACCATGGGTAACAAAGGCAAAGCCTTGCCTGGCAAAAGAAAATTGCAGTGCAAACAAGATCAAATGACGTTTCCAATAACACCATCTTGCCTTTATTTAAGCACACATATCTTCTTCTATGATTAATGACACAAATCCCATTGGATTTAAATTCCTAACCTGAAAACTTAGCATCTTCAGCTCGTTGAATGACAATTCGCATAGTCTTTGCAAAACTTGCCTTTGGCAATCTCCTTTTGCTGGAAGATATCTCAGATGACACACATTGTATGAGCAATGTGACTAAAAATGGCCACGTTTCCGCTGAAGAAAAACAATTCTAACATTTCAATCTCTTCTGTACAAACAATTGGTTCATATAACATAGTGTAAACACAATCACATCAAATCTTGCACAATTAATTCTTTGATCTTACAGTGAGGAATTTCATTCGGTTCAAGCTTTGCAGTATTCAGTCCAAGGTACTTGCAAAACCTCATCGATCTTTCGCCACCCTCTAGCCATGTATTCAACAACTTTACTCCCTCCTATGCATACAAGAAATTATATATTATTATTTGACACTAAATTAAAAAATATATATATATACATATATTCGCTTCAGCAATGAATAAATTAACAGCCGACAGAAATTATAAGCCATATAACAAGTAAATTATAAATTAATTCTTAATTTGATTATTATTTTACATCAATAAGGAGAAAAATAAATAAATAAATTCCATTGTGCCTAATTCAAAGTTCAGTTTCAGTAAAAATGAGAAGAAAGAAAGTCAGTTTCATTCTTCTTTGAGTGATTATTTTTTTAATTGTTTTTCATTTTCTGGTGAACCAAAGAGAGTGGAAAGAAAGAAAGAAAGAAAGAAAGTTACTTCTCGAGCTTTGGCTTTATCGGAGGAAAGCTTAGAGACGATTTCTTGAACGTCTCTAGAAGTAACCATCGCCGATGATTTTTGAAGATTCCAGTGTGAGAGATGGCGGGAAAACGAAGTGAGGATTTTTCCTCTTTTTCTTTTTTTATAGAGAAAACCTGGGTTTGGAGTTTTGCTGTTTCAAGTGTTTCTGTTATGAGAGGGGATTTAAAGGGTCTCGTGTGCCTTTATCGTCGATGAGGTCATTTAGGAAAAGAAAGACGCCAAGGCGTGTTTCATGGAGGTTGAGGAAAATGAGGTGGCACCTTCCAGAAGAGAAGAGGACTTCGCAATTTTACAATTATTTCCCTTACGTTGCCAATAATTACTTTTTTAGTCATATATTGGTTTAATGGCAAAATTGTTTCCGACCAACTACCATTTGACAATTTCAAACCTTTATTATTTCTCACGGAGTATTAGATCCTAAATTATTTTTTCAACAAATAAAATCTTTATTTTTTATTACTAACAGTCAAAAAATTAACTATTAACGATCAATCCTTTGACTATTAACATTGTCATTTTTTTCTTTTTAAATTTAGTTAAGGATAAATTATAACAAACACTCCATATTTACATAACGGAAACACTCTACATTCTCATTTTCTAAAAATTATAGTTTACATCATCTTTTTCTTACAATAAGTTTTCATACCATTGAATAATAAAATGACAACAATATTGTCATATATATATATATATATATATATATATAATTAGACCTTACATATCGGCTTAGCATAAGCTATCCCTTTTTAACTTGTAATTTCTCTCTCTTACACGTCACTCTCTCTTTGAAAAGAGAAAAACTATATAGAACATCGATTTTTACCTCCCAAATCTCTTGAAATCCAAGCGTTTTATTGTGTGATTTTTATTTATCGTTGTGGTTGTTTTTGTCAAATTAAAGACGCTTGGAGAACGATTTAAAGTTAAAATCCGGTATGTGAAGAGCGTGACCTAAATTTAAATTTTTTGAAACACAAATATATTTAATTCATAAAAAGTTGAAATTAACATTACCTTTGTATAATCTCAAGAAAAAATCCATTAAGATTTTTTGTTTTTTGAAGATTTTTTTAATCTACGATTGAAAATCCCAAAGAACCCTAAATTGTTAAATGTGTAATTTTTTCTTTGAAACAACTTGTTTATCCTATTGGTTGTTTAGAGCAAAACACATTAAAAAAAATTAAGGATTTTAAGATTCTATTGAAATTTGAAAAATACCCAAATATTGAGTGTTGATTTTTTTCAATCGAATGTTAATTGTTTATGCTTTAATATGTTGTTTAGAGCAAAACACATTAAACTACGATGTAAGTAGTAAAGGATAAGCATTTGAACACAATTAGTGATTGTGCTAAGAAAACGATAAATATTTGATCTCGGTCGAACTTGGGGGTATCTCGTGGTCCGACTAGAATGGTAATCCATAAAATTGAGAACACTTAGAAACAAGGCCAAGGATCTAACCAATCGGATCAAAATTCGATAATTGATCAAATAGTAACATCATAAAGTCAACTAATGCAATAGGGATCCAAGCAACAAGTATTGAAGCATTAATCAAAACATCCAAAGTAGCTAAACCGTGGGGTAGTAGGGCTATCTCAAGTAAACCAAAAGCCGATAATATGATACGGTTCGGATTCGACTTAGATCAATAAAAGAAAAGTTGAGCCTTCAAAGTGTAGCCTATGTTTCTCCTAGGTAAGAAACTAACAATTGTAATTAGTTTTGTTAATGTATTACATGAAAACATCCAAAAAATCACCGAATCATCCAAAACGATTTGTACATACCCTTTTTAATTGGATCACCCATTAAAGATTCATTTCTTCGATCTTGTTTTTCAAACAAAATCACCCAAAGTAGTTTGTATTAACCTTTTTTATCGGATCACCTACAAAAAGTTCATTTCTCCGATCTCTTTTTCAAAAACAAAAATCACTCAAAGTAGTTTGTACATATCCTTTTCGATCAAATCATCCGTTAAAGGTTCGTTTTATTGATCCATTTTGACTATTATGTTTTACTTTTTGGGAGATAAGTCACCTTGCACAATGAGATTACTCGTATTTTACTTTTTAGGAGAAGCCACATAACACAATAAGGCTACCGTATTTTACTTTTTAGGGTAAACTACCATGTGTATTTAAGTAAAGGATATATAAACAATAAGTAAACAGAGAGCAAAACGAGGCTTAATGAATGACCCTTTATACTTAAGAATAAATATAGTTAAACAATAGGATCAAATTAGCATAACTTGATCTCCGAAATGGTATATTAATTTAAAAAATAAAACTAAAATAAAATGATCGATTATCATTCACTATACTATTTGAGTCATTATTTACCCATATAGTTTTTGATCATTTTGAACATTTTGAAATTTAGGAAATCAAATAAAAATATAATTATAATATAAGGACCAAAACAAAAAGGTAAAAATAACTAAACTCACAATATACATATTCCAAGAAAAAAAGGTGCGGTAGAAGCATCATTGTTGAGCATTAATTGGTCTATCTAATTGGTCTATCTAAGTAAGGAGCAAGTTATATCAAAAGGATCAAAAAACAAGAAGGAAATTAAAGAAAGCAAAGGTAAAAACATAACTTGACACCATCACCGAGTGCACAATAGCAATTAAGCAAACAATATAAAGGTGTTAAATTGAAAATTGGAAAAAAGGCGAGTGCAAGAGAAAAAGAAAAATAGACTTTTGCAATAATACTCGAAAAATCGACCAAGTAGATGAAACAAAACACGAAGGAATGATCTTAATAAATGAAGAAGTGCAATATAATAAAATTAAGTCTTGGTCCATAGTAAATTCAATTTAAGTGAACAATCTATAAAAGGAAAAATCTCATATGTTTTTGTGTTTTTTTTGTAATAATTGTATGAACTATTGTTATAGGAACAACAATAAAACTTAAAGAATCTCATAGAATTGAACATAAATGCATATTATCAAATATAATATTATTTAAATAGTTTATCTTTTCAATGTCATTGATATTTTGTCGAAAGAATTTATATGAAACCCCAAGTATTTTATCAATTGTGCGACATTTTCGAGAAACCGCCGATTATAATTACATCCAATCTCAAACATATTTGTTAAAAATCAACAATCAAGTGGATCCTAGTATAAGCCAATAAAAGCACTTGATGGTCACTTTATGATAGTATTAAAAGTAATATTGAAGTTATATAAATAGCTCATAAAATATTTAAAGGATATCATGACTTCTTAAAAAATAATGAGTAACCCTAGATTTTACCCCGGCTTCAAGGTAAGAAGAAAAATTTCTTTATCTAGTTGGATGCATAAATAAATTAAAATCTATTAATTTAACGAGGATTATGGGGAAGCAATAGATTGAACTCGTGTTATGAAAAAAGTTCTTGTTGAAATTCAAAGAAGTTTTGATAGTCAAAAAAACATAAAATATTTTAATTGGCAATAATATTTATTTGAAGTTACTTATATTTTGCTTAGTTGGGAAAGAAGTGCACGTAATTCTCATATATTAGATGATACATTGTCTACATGTAAAGGACTAAAAATTCCTAAAGGTATTACAACTAGTATGTGTGTGTTTTTATGTTTCTATTTTATTTTTTAACATACATGCAAATATTATCTTGATGATGTGGTTACACTAGGGGGGGGGTTGTTACACTAAGGGGTTGGGGGCATTTCTAAGGACACTCATAAGTGAAATCAAGGACACACCTTCATTTGATGGACTCCAATTGCAACATTTTAGGCCGCTCCCTAGCTTGCATCACTATGGACGATGTTAAGAATTTTTCAAATACGAGGCCCTGCATGTCATAAAAAGCCCATTATGCAAATTTGTAACTCTAACTTATGGGCTAAAGTCTACCTAGTCTAATTTTTTAAAACATGAAATTGCATTTCTGCTCTTGATACGAGACTCAAACCAAGATAAAAATCCAGAACTAATGTCCATTCACAAAAATGTTTGGCAAGTTAAGCGCACCAACTAAGGTTAGCATCAAATTTATAGTTTGCGATTCAATTTGGTAAATTTATGTTTTTTTATTATTAATTTGTTTGAACAATACTTTATTCTAAATATTAGTATCTCCAACTTTCTTTTTTGACCTAATTTAATCTGAAATGATTGAAAAAATATTACATTTAAAGAGTCTAACAACAAATTCACTGATGGGGGCAAAGTGAATTTTGAGTGAGGACAAATAAATATCACGTATTTTTTTTCTTTTTTGGCTATATATATTAAATTGAAATTAAGATTTTATGTTTTTGAGTTATTTTTGTGATTTTTTATAATTTTATAATGAATTATATTTCTAACAAAGCATATAAAAATTTATAGAATAGTTATACCCAAATAGAAATTAGAAAAAATAATGATGGGTGCGTTAATGTTTTTGAATTTTAAAGTCTATTTCAATTAGGGTATAGGATAATACTTCCAAATATTCAAAAGATAAAAACATATTTGTTTGCATCAATAAATAATGATTTTGGTATATTGGTTTATAAAAATGACTTGAAATAAAAAGGTTGATTTATAATGTATTATCTATAATGTGCTCTCTATCACAATCTCATAATAAATTGAAAAATAGCATAAGTAACAAAAATAACATAAATAATCTAAACAAACATATATAATTATAAATTAGATCTTGCGATAACCCGCATAAAAATACTAGTTGAAATTGTTTTATCATCTTTTTATTTGTTTTTCATTATGTGAATTTTAAAAATCTATTTTAATCAATAAATAATTCTATAGATATTTAATTAGGTTGGGTGGCTATGTTTGGATGGACAAGGGTGATATAAATTGAATAGCTACGTTCAAAAAGTTTGTTTTTTTTTTGCCCGTCATTTTCCTACTGCACGTGACCTGACACCGTTAATCATATCTTTCAAGATTTGTTTATTTTTGCAGGATCAATGCAGACCATATAGCTATTTATCTGGCTTACATATGCTGAATTTTGTTTCTTTAATAAGGCTAGAGGCCTAGCCCACTTAATGGATTATAATCCTCCTTTTTTTTTTTTTTTTTTTTTTTGCATAATTGTGAACGTACTGTGTGTCTATTTTTTTTTTGAAAAATACAGGCATTAAGATGTGAATTGTTCTAGAATTTCTAAAGTTGCCCAATGTAATTGACAATTACTCTTATAGAACCATGATGATGGATGGAGTTGCAAGTTTGACTGGCTTATGGGACTGGAGAGAAAAGCTTTTGTATGGAAAGCTTATAAGTACAAGCCAATTGTGGATTCCATTAGGCCGAAAAGGGAGCAGCCCTGTTCTCTTTGTTTAGCCAATTACCCAAATCGTCTGTGGTTATCATCAATCAACCAATTACTTTTCATGGAATACAAAATAGAAGCCATTAAAGACTCTTTTGGTAGACTGGACAAAATATAGAATTAGCAGACCCAAAATTACGTAGAAGTTGTTTTGTGAAAAAATGAAACAGGGCAATAGACGATTTTTGTCCTGCTCTATGTCAAACTTTTTGTCCCGCTGTCTCCCAGGGGACGAGATCGTGGTGTCCAAGACGACAAACCTCATTTAAACATTTTTTTCCAAACTATCCTCGGTGTTTCCCTTAACTTCAAAAATATCCTTTGCTCTTTTGTACTTCTGATCCTTTTTATACATTTTACTTATTTATAAATAAAATAAAAAAATTAATTATTTTGGAATAAATACAACAAATTTTTATTTATGAAAATAAAATGTTTATTTAAAAAAGTAAATATTTTGAATCAAATAAAATTATTTTACATGAATCATGATTTTATTTATGAAAGTAATCAAATATATTAATAAATTAGTTAATTATTTAGATAATAAAAAAGTAATAATTAAATATGTTAAGAAATAAAATAAATATGTTGGTTATTAAATAACTAACATATTTTTTTTATTTATGAGATCAAAATGGATTGTTTTCATTTTTAAAGACTTATTAAGAAAATAAAAAAATATTTTAAAAAAATAGAAAAAAAGTTATTTTATATATAAAAGAAGTAAAAACCAATATATATATATATGTTCATTTTTATTTATTACCTTCGTGTTAAATAACAAATCATTTATTTCTAGGACTAGAATACCATTTACAAAGAATTAGATTATTATGTTTTGTATTTATATACATGAGTCTGTATAAGGGTATTATGACCGTTAAAACTTGTTTTATCATGTCATCTCCTATACTTGCCAAACGCAAAATCGAATAAATTACAGCTAGCCCATTCTAGCTTGCACCAAAAGATAGACATAGCATCTACTTGTTTTGTCTAGTCTAGTCTCATCCATCAAATTTTATCCAGCGTATCAAATATACCTTAACAATATCAAATACTTTCTTTTCATTGTTCTTCAAGACTCGAGTGACAAGAAAATTTTACATTTAAATAATCACATATTTTTTTAAAATCCAAAGGAGAATTCATCATCATCATCATCATCATCATCATTTTGGAATTAAACATCACACTACAATAAAAAGATGAATTTGCGACGAAAAATTAGCGACGGTCAAAAAACCGTTGCTAATTTATAAAATTTGCGACGGTTTTTTTAAAAACGAGTTGCAAATATTGAAATTAGCAACGGTCTATAGACCGTCACTAATTTCTTTGCAAAATATTTATATTTTAAAAAATAAAATTTGCAACGGTTTTTTGTAAAAAAACGATTGCAAAATTTCAAAACCGTTGCTAAAATTGTAATTCGAAAAAAAATATTTAAAAACTAAAATTTGCGATGATTTTTTACAAAACAACCATTGCAAAATTTCCACATTAGCGACGGTCTAAACCGTTGCTAAAATTACAATTCGAAAAAAAAATATTTAAAAACTAAAATTTGCGACGGTTTTTTGCACAAAAACCATTGCAAAATTTCAACATTAGCGACGGTGCTAAAATTGCAATTTGAAAAAATAATTTAAAAACCAATTTTTTCAACGGGTTTTTTTGCAAAAAAACCATTGTAAAATTTCAACATTTAGCGATGGTCTATAGACCGTCGCTAAACCATTGCTAAAATTACAATTCGAAAAAAATATTTAAAAATTAATTTTTGCAACGGTTTTTTTTCAAAAAAATCGTTGCAAAATTTCAAATTAGCGACAATCTATAGACCATCGCTAAACCTTTATCTTTAACAAACCCATCTTCCCGAAAATTTTCAGAAAAAAATTTCTCTCTCCAACTCTCTTTTTCTCCTTCGGCAGCGGCGTTGATCTACCCAAAATTGCCATCAAATCTTCCCCCTCTCTCTTATTTTCCTTCCAATATTGTCTTCTCTCTCCTCTTTCCCTTTCTCCCCTCCATCTTTCGCCCTTTCTTCCCTCTTTTCCTATTTTTTTCTTTCGTTCTCTTCTTTTCCTCCACCGGCCGTTTTCCTTCCGGACAAGTCCGATGAAGTCCTTCCACCGCCGTAGCCCCCTCTCCTCCTTGTGTTGGTGAAAGGTCCTCCCCCATCTAACCCCTCATTTTATTTTTTAATTTTTTCAATTATTTAGTTTATATAATTTAAATTTTTTTGTTAATTTAATTAATTGTTATTGTTAATTGCATTTGTTGTTGTTATTGTTAATTGATGATTTAATTAACATTATTGTAATTTGTTAATTTAGATAGTTTATTTGTTAAGAAAATTTAATTGGTATCAATTTTTGTTAATTGTGATAGTTTAAATGTTTAATTGTTAATTTTATTTTAATTGTTAATTGTGTTGTTAATGTTATTGTTAATTGTTGATTTAATTAATATTAATGTTAATTATTGATTATTGATTTAATTAATTTTATTGTTAATTGTTAATTTATTTATTTAAATTGTTTAGAAAATATAATTGTTATTAATTGTTGTTAATTGTGAGGGTTTAAATTGTTAATTTTATTGTTAAGAAAATTAAATTGTTATTATTTTTTATTGTTAATTTAATTGTTATTGTTATTAGTGTAATTCATAATTGCTAATTTAGTTAATTTATTGTTAAATGTTATTTATTAATTTAGTCAATTTAATTGTTGGTATTTTTGAAAGTTAATTATTTTAGAAAATTATTAATAAGTTATTAGAAATATTTTATATTCTTAGCAATTAAAAAAATAATTAGTAATTAAAAAATTAATACTTTTTGAATTTAAAATTAGTAATTAACAAATTAATTAGTGATTAAGTTTATTTAGTTGTTCATTAAGTAAATTATTATGTTAATTTGTTAGTACAACCTCAAGCTCGAGCAACTTCGCGGTTCCTTGCTATCGATGAGGCACGACGAAAGGAAGTCCATGATCAAACATCCGCAAATACGACATATATCCAAGACCTACGGGTACTCGTCACATAGTTGTTGACTACAACAAATGAGTTGAAGGAGTATAGTCGACATCAACATATGATGATGACACAAATGCGGTAGAAGTTTCAAGCAACATTTTCATCAAGGTGGTACTTCATCCGTCATGCCCGAGACCGACGACGACTCCATACAACCTCCGGACGATTCCACCCAACCTCATGGGGACGATCCAAGCAATTTCTCATTTTTTCTTGTAATGATAAAAACATCGTGTACTCGTTTTCAAGAATTTAATAATTGAATAATATTTATTATGTTTTAATATAATTTATATTAATAATTATGAAATTTTAAATATTGTGTTTTGGATATTTAGTAGACTTTTTAAATAGCAATTAGTTAATTTTAGATATTTAAATTGGAGGTGGAAAAAAAATTAAGATAAGACAATTAGCGACGGTTTTGACCGTCACTAATTTTCAATAAATTACGACGGTCTATAGACCGATTGCTAAGTCCGTCGCTAAATTGCGATGGACTTAGCGAGGGTTTTTTTGCACCGTCGTAAATATTCCCTCGTTTTACTATCATATTTTGTGACGTTTTTTCAGTTTAGCGACGGTTTAGTCCGTTGCAAAATTGGCGATCGTCCAAAAACCATCGCAAAAATTTAGTGATCGGCATTTTAGCAACGGTCTTTGGATCGTCGCAAAACTCGTCGCTAAACTAAATTAGCAACGGTTTTTTCTAAATTAGCGACGATCTAGACCGTTGCTAATTCAATAGATTTTTGTAGTGTCATGGGCTAACTCGTTTATGAGAATTTATTATATAAATCGGTCTACCGTCTAAGATCATGGAGAAAACCAATAGAATTATTATGAATAATTAAGTATGTTGAAATCATGACAATTTATTACATAGATCCGGTCTACCACCTAAAATTATGGACTAGGCAAATAAAAATATTACAAATAATTGAATTTTTTCGAATCATCTATTTAGTATATCACCTTTAGAGAGCAATGTTTTGCGTAAAAATATTTTCATGATTTTTTTTGTTTGATTTTCATAAAATATTTTACAAAAAAAACTTGTCAACGTAAAATATTTTATAATCAACCTCTAAATTTTGTTCATTTTAAAAAATATTTTCAGCTCATGAAATTTCATAAAATATTCCGTGATCGATCTACGAACAATATAATCCAACTATTTCAACCGACATTATCACCACCTCACCACCATCACTATCCCACTACTAATAGCACCCTGCCGCTATAACTACTACCATCATCATCCTATTACTCTACCATAACCACCTAGCCGTGATTGCCATCATCACTTTCACCTTCGTCGGCACTAGCACTATCACCCTTTCAATATCCACACCATTCCGTTGACATCGCTACCACTATCTATTATTTTACCATTAGCACTATCATCCCACTACGATCACCATTTTGCTAACATTGCTATCACGATCTACTATTCCACTACTACCATCACTTACTTTCACTACTATGGTGACCATCACTACAATCATCATAATTATAATAACTACCATCATCATTACGAGGTCCATGTAATAATTTAATATGTGGTATGTAATCATGTAATTATTAGTTAGATCATAAGTGTTTGGTATGCATGGTTTGTCCACTTGTCCATCATTGAGTACGGTATCTATTTCACTAATGTATTTATATAAATTGAGTGAAAATGTAATTTTCTCACGGAGTATAAGAGTTTGGATTGAGAATTTATATTTTGCCATACAAAAATAGAAAAGCATGAAAAGCAAGTGCAATGGATGATACATATGATTGTATAATCTATCTATTTATAAATAATATTAAATCGGAAGAAATTCAAGTGTGTTCTATAACACATGGATTGTTTATTTACATATGGATTTAGATATTTACCAATAATATTTTACCAAATATAAAAAAGTTAACACATATACTAGTATTTCTT